AGAAGCATCATGAAGTTTCAATGGGCTGGCAGTTGAATGTCTTGAGAGATTGAAGAGATGCAGGGTGTACTTTCGGGTCCTTCGTTGATTCTGTTGCTCAGGTCGCGTACTTCAACTCCCTGAAGATCGATGCTCCCGATGCAAAAACCCTCTTCGACTTGCTTGATTACGACCAGTCTGGGGAAATCGATTTGGAGGATTCTTCTGGCGTGCAAGATGCTGTAGGTATGGAGTGCAGTTTCATCTAGTTTGGCTTGTTCTAGGTGAAACCTGTTTAGATTAGATGGGGCACATTCTACATTTTGCATTGTTCGCCATGAGAGAAAGTACAGATGTCTAGAATTTTTGGGAATTGGCGAACTTGAACCTGGGTGACTCTCAATTGCTGGAGCAATTTGTGAGGAGTTTCTGCATGGCTGCTACAGCTTGCACGGTGATGCGTCGCACCTTGAAGCAAAGATTCTACAGATGGAAGTAAGGCAAGGCACAGCTGGAAAGTTCCAGGAAAGAATGGGAGCCAACTGCTGAGCCAAGTTAGTTGCTGTGTGGCTATGCCTTGGATAACGGCCAAAGAGAATATATGACAAGTAGTCTAATGCAGTCACATGAAGTCACCTTGTTCTGTCCGATGGTCTTCTTTGTCGAAATCATGTCGGTCCAACGGGCAATTCTTGCAGTTCTTGCAAGGCGCTCCATTTCCATGCCATGCTTTTGTGTCACAAAGTTTGCATTTGCTGTGAAGGTTTGTGAAGGAAATGTTGATGCAGTTGATGGATGACTTCCAAGATCTGCGGAAGAGACGTTTGCGGCGCCCTTCGACAGACAGGGTCGACAAGGGGGACCGAAGCCACACCAGCAAAGGACTTCACTGACGCAGTGATCATGGTCCAAATGTCGTTGATATTTTTGTCAAGTGAGCCAGGAGCTGCACTTTGAAGCTAGTCTTAGCATACATGTATAATGCAAATGGCCCACAGGCATCACTGCATCCGTTGAAGTCTTGATTCTTGGACTTGTTGATGGTTTCTCCGAGTTTCTCCATTGAGTGATGCTCAGTGGTGTTCAGTACAAGATCATTCACTCATATTCACTCTATGAGCTCCATGAATCTTGACCCGTGCCTTGATCCCAGTGAGCCAATTTTGTTCCGATAGCACCGTCTCGCAATGAGTGGTGTCATGGCCCGCCCAGACCGCCATGGCTGCCGAAGGCATGCCAACTGGCCCATACTGGCCCTGTACTAAATCTGTACAGCTCTGCGAAACGCAGTGCTTTGGCTATAGATCGCATTGCAGCAATTGTTGGTTTGACCCAACTTTGTTTTACTGGATTTTTTTGCAACAGTCTGTTCGACATGAATGTCAAAACTTCATGTTTCAATTGCACCGGAAAAAAGTTCAGCAGTCAGGGTCCTGGCACCGCAAGCGTGTGCATGCAGTGCTCAGCTGAGCACATAGAGATCATAGACATGTTTTCTTTCACCTTCCAGTCAACAGTCTGGTGATGTTAAAATATGTTAAGACTTAAGAAACCTAGGTTGAACCGCATTAATGATTGAACATGAGTGAATGAGCTTCAAATTCTTCAGGTTTTTTTTGGGTGATCTGGGTGATGCTCTTTGGATCTTTTAGGAATCTCATGGTTTTTTTGGGGAGCGCCATAGGGAACCTGCCTCGACGGCAGCTTTGCCAGGCATCCAGCACACCGCGGCCTGGACAGAATGGGGCAGTGGGTTCGAGTGGGTTTCCAGGAAAAGCCACAGGTTTTGCCAACCCTTTGCCATCCAAATTTTGGGGGTTGGGACTTTGATTGTCTGACTCTGAAACGTCAGCATATGTCAGCATCCTTGCTTACACATGATGACACCACTGCAGAAAAAGCATCAGGGATGTAGACATCCAAGATGGTGGGAGAAATCAAGAGTTGCAGGAATAGATTGCAGAAGCTTAAAAGAAGCAGCTGGAAGCAACAGAGGAATTTGGTGCAGTTTCAGCAATGAATGGACATGAGGGCCAGCACGAAGCAAAGAACCAAAGGGCAGCAAAGGACAACAATAGAAAACTTGCCTGCTAGATCCTGCTAGAACAAAGTTGGAAAAGCCATAAACTGTCTCTGAGCGAAAGCTTGAAATTAGGAGACTTTCAGGAGACCTTGCCATACCTTTCCTCCATATAGAGACTATCACTTTACTTTGGGTTCTCGGGTTTGTGGCTTGTTTGTTGTATGTTGTTATATAATAATATTACATAAGATTTGTTGTGGTTAGGAACAGGTTTGCAATGGTTTGCTCGTGTTGATGTCATGAATCTTTGAGAGGTTCGTTTGGCATAGCATCATGAAGTGGAAGATGTCAAGCCGGGCCGAGCTTTGTACATGGTGCGTTGTGGCCTCTCTGAAATGCTTTTCCATCACGAAATGCAGAGACCAACATTGTACCATGGATGATCATTGATGTTTAATCGTGCGTGTTCAATCGTGTTTGTATTGCCTATATTATTACACACACATATACATATATATATTACACACGCACACTTGTGTTTTGTACGAATTTAATGTGTGTGTGTGCGCGTAAGCCAGGCAAAAATCCGGAGGAGCATTCCGCATTTTCACCAACCCATGACACCACACTGAACCAAGGTCATCGGTCCGACAGGATACAGGCCCGATTTAGTGAGTTCATGATTCGTCAAGTTGCCATTCACAGGGCACCCAGCCAACCCCCACGGTGATATAAAAAACAGTGTCCATCAGCGTGACATGAAGCGGATTAAGATTCATTGTGACATATTGTGACCTGAATCAGATGTAGACAGCTTGCCGTACTGTTTGCTATGGTCATTCCTGCGTGGCAAGGCCTTCCAATGTCAGCGTCGGGATCAAAGCCGATGTCTGAAGATAGCTTCTGAAACGGAAATAGCTTCGCTTGCGTGACGTCTGTTACACCTTGCTTTTCCGCAGTAAGAGGAACCCTGCGCTCCCTGCACCTTGAGAGTGAATTCGCTAACGCTAGATCCACTAGTGGGCAGCAGGCAGCTGGCAGGAACTTCAGAGTGCATGAACTGTGCATGACTCCATGCGGTATTCATTTGTGCCGATTTTTCCGTACAACCGTTCTGATGTAGCATTGCTCCTTGAATGTTCCTGCATGCTCAATAGGAAGTCTGCAGAATGCAGCAACCTGATATCACTTGCCCGAGGTTAAAGATGCCTATCGATCTAATCTGTGTTTTTCTGAATTCCATGCATGCTCAAAAAACCTGCAGAATGCAGCAACCTTATCTTGCACGAGGAAGAACATATCCCTGCAAGATGTACTTAGTTCGTTTCTGGGCTCTCAAACACCTCGCTGGTTCGCTGATTGTGCTTTGCAGATGTGGAAGGTGTTTCGAGACGAAAAAACATCTTGGAGATGTGTGCGAAGTGTTGGAGAGCTGATCCGAAACCAGCGAAAGCTCAGTTCTTTGCGGTTTGGCATAGGCACCAGCAGCACCTCCGTGAAAAAAGTTGCTTTGATTTTCTTTGGACCGGAGATTCGCCTGGATGCCAGCTGATGATTGACCATGGTCAATGGATGTCAATGGCCAGCCACAAGCTTGTGAAGGTGCCCCTGTCATCCCCTGTCAAGGTCCGGGTACTGTAGAAGGAATCAAGGCGAACATGGAAAGCCAGCAGAAAGCACAAAGCAGCCCACGCATGTAATCTGGTTGATGAAACGCGCAGCTTTAGGATGCTTTAGGGGATTTGTGTGAGAACAACATCAGGTTTGGTGTTTGAACAATGAATCCAAAAATATAAAGATGAATCAGGCTTCCCTCTCTGGTCAGCCCTTACTCACAGCTGAGCAAGCAAACCGGAAGTCAGCACATGGCGAGATCGTTTCTTTGTGGAATTTTATCGCTGCACATGTCCTGCAGACAATGACAATTCCAGCTTTGCCAGAGTGCCACAGGAGCTATGGGATTGCAGGGGTGTGAATTGACTAGTGTTCTTTATTTGTGGCTTTCGGACAAGTTCAGGGACAGGTGAACATCCACTCAACAAACTCAACTCAGTTCAATATATATAGGACCTAATAGGAGTGCAAAAACACTGGCGCATAGACTGCCGGAGAACGCTTGGAGGAGATCTAAAGTGAATCAACCGATCTGATTTTGAAGGTAAACTACTAGTCTGCTGGCATTTAAGCTAGCTTTTTTATGCATTTTGAGAAGTAAATTATATATACGGCATTTATTTGCGCCAACGGATATTGTAGACTTTTGCTGCCCTGCAGGCAGAATGAGCGCTTGACGGAGATCAGATGTCGATTGGCCTGCTTCCCATGTTTTTTTCTTAATATCATATGTCTAATGTAGATAGGTGCAGAGAAAACCAAATTCAAAGTTCCGTTTTTTGTGATATCCTCCGGGCAGAAAATTCAGACTTGTGCAAGGGTAAAACAGGAGAGCTTGCCGCATAGCTGAACTCTTTGGAGAGAGCCATGAGAGAAACACATCGGATTGGTGTTGCCAGGACGCATTGGCAAATCAGCATTGCCAAGCTTTCTTCAACAACGAGCACAGAGCCCCAATATGCCCCAATGTTTCTGTGATGTTCTATGAATGATTAAACTTCCTGAGGATGACAGTGCGTAAGGACATGTTGAAGATGCTGAAGATTCAGGAGGACAGATGTTGTGGATTGTGAATACTTCATAACAACACATACACACATGTAATATATATATATAATTATATATAACTATAACATTATATAACTACTGTAACTGCAATTTGTGAATCATTTCAACATGTCCATATATTTCCATGGAATTATTGGAATTCACGGACTCAGGCCTGGCCCAGACCTGGCGCAGATCACCGGTTTGTTGAAGGAGGCAAGAGAACATCGGTCCACCAGATTCCACCAGATTCCACCAGTCTACCTGTGTCTACCTGTGGAATAGATGGACTTCATGACATCGTATGACATCTGCAGTGAATCTACAGGTCGATGTCATGTACAATGAGCTGGGCATTCACGAGCGCACTCCTGGCAGTTGTTACTTCAAGGATCTTCAATGTGTAATGAATATTAATGAATCCTTGGTGAGACAACAAGATGTTGCAACAACGTGCAGGGACCTGGAGGAAGCCTGGCAATTTATATAAATCCAAGTTCGCCAGGAAATTCCATCACTTTCTTCTCCCACTGTAGAATAAAAAACTCCTGAAAACCTTGCCTGACGATGTTTATGAGCTCCGGCCAATCCACCAAAAAGCATCAAAAGAATTGCAGCCACCAACCATTCCAGGTGCCAAAGCTGACATGATGGTTGGCTGCGGTATAAGCCCAAGTTGTGATTGGAACGCCAGCGTATATATATATATATATATAATACTTTGGAGGGACGTGCTTCTACCAGTGGTCAAAATGGCACTTTTTTTGAGTGGCACTGCCAGCCTTTGCATTGCTTGTTTTCAAAGTGTCTCAAAGTCAGTTTTCTTCAGGGGATCATGAATGAAGCACAAGAACCCCAAATGGAGAAAGATAATAGCATCAGATAATAGAATGGTAGAACAAAAGAACACAATATTGAAAACAATGTTGACATGCAATGCATAGTGGAACTGCGGATGGAACTATGGCCAGCAACTGGTAAGGCCCTCGCTTTAGAACGCGGAGCCGACCATCGCTTTAGAACAGGGTCTCAACTATCGCTTTAGAACGCGGAAGATGATCCTACGTCATCAAGATAGAAGTTCCCCAGCCTGCCCCACCCCATGAACGTTATTGCCCCACCCCACCCCAACCCCACCCCTTGCCAGTCCCATGATGCGTGTGTTCTAGAAGTGTGTTCTGAAGTGATGCAAAATGGATTGTGTTCTGAAGTGATCTTGTTGCCCCAGCCCGAGCAACTGGATGCAACTGGCAGGTTGGCACATGCTGGGTCAGGACGATAAGGCCTTCGACCCCTTGATGAGAGCTGTTGCCTCCGATGGTTGCGGGGTGCCCAAGCTTTCGAGGCATACGCCGTAAGCAGTAGCTGAACCTGGCTGAGTGGATCAGATTTGCTGGAATTTTGACTGGTTGTGCGCACTAGTAGAGGGGTCATGAGAGTCATGAGGTGAGGAAAGGTGAAAGACATACTCAAAATACCTCAAACACTTTCTGGCATTATACTTGCATTAAAGGATATCAAAGGATTTGTGGAATACCTTGGCTTCGACTGGAACTTGGCGAGTGAAGCCATAAAAATCGGCGAGTGTATGGATATTAGATATAGGTACACAGCAAGTAAGGACAGTTGAAAGGTGATTTGTTTTTGGAGTGCGAGCTAAACTGTGAACCAAACCAGGGAATCCACAGTCACACTTCGCTGAAGCGCCTGAAGGCATGTCCGCAAGTGACCAGTTGTCTGCCATTTTGGTCGCGGAAGCCTTAGCGCCAGACAGTTTGTAGAGTCAAGACTTGATATGATTTGATGACACTTATATGACACTTGCATGTCTGGATCCAAGGGATCATGGATGGATCATTGATCTGACAGATGTGGGTTCCACATTTGTCTTGGAAAAGATCCCATGATTGTCCGTGATTCCTCATGTGCGATGAGGTCATGCCTCTTCTTCGGAAAAAGTGCCAGTGGCGACAAATTATTGAAGCAGGCAGTGCTGGTGAGCGAACTGAAAGCAGGGCAACGGCATCATTTTCTATATCATGGCATTCCAGTATGCCATAGTGTGCCAAAAATTGCAAAATACAAAGCTCGTGTTTGACTTTGGGAGGGGTAGAACTGGTAAAACACCTCTTCCTGGGTGGCATGTCTAGGCGACAAAGCGCGCAAGCTGGCAGCTGGAGTTTGGGTCGGATCCCAAGACGACCGGACAGCAGCGGTTGAATATGCTGAATCTCTGCTGCGACTCACCAGGTGTTTGAAGCTTGGACTCATAGAAACTACAGAAGTTGAAAAGGGGTGTTGGCACCGTTGACAAAACATCAATATTGCAAAGAACCGCTTCGCCGGATCAGTGCGCTCCAACACAGGCACTAAAGATCGTCCATGTATATGCGAGTCATATTTCCAAAGAAGTTTTTCAGCTGCAGCACGCAAGATGGTCAGCTGGCAAACCTATACCATACATGGATCACCCTTCAGAACTCCAGTTCGGAAGCGCGCAGGCGAATAAGCTTGCTTGCCATTTGTTGATGTCTTGCCAATTTACTGATTGTATTTACTGTTGTGACTTGAGTTGCGTTCCTTGCGCGGCGGTCATTATGCCGCAAGGACGCATCAATGCACAAAACAGCATGGGAAATCATCCCTGATTTCATAGCGCTTGATGGAGCAGGGTGATGGAGGCGACGATGCACTCAAGATGCTACTTCAAGCAGATGTCAGCACGCGGGTGCTTTTCCTTGGCACCTTGTTTGCCACGAAATCAACTGCTTGGGCAGCTGGCGTGCTGCTTGCCGCAGCCACACGCCCTCGTTATGCTCCGTTGCTGTACCGTGGTCCGGGCGCACGTATTTTGCAGAGCTTCAGGTCCACCTTTCCTGCAGCTACTGTGCGAATTGATGCTTTGTCAGCAAGGGCTGCAGCATCACGCTCGGCCAAGTTTTTAGCACGTGCCACTGGGATGAACCCTGCAGACTTGGCGCCGGCGGCTGCGGAGGCCAGGGAGAGAATCTTGTACAGTAACAGTAGGTCAGTAGGTGATTGTAGCTGCCATGAATTGCATGGAAGGCGACAGTGGCCTTTCGATTCGTTTGGCCGCTCTGGTTGCTGTCTTAGCTGTTGATGGTTGTGATGTCGTTGTGTTGGGTATGTATGTTTGGCCTGTACATTATTATATAGATTATTGTGGAATGTTGTGGATCTGTTTGTGGTCTGAGATGGTCTGAGTCTTGGTGAGATTCATAGTTTTATATCTAGTTTTCGAATGTTTTCGATGTGGAGGTTTTATGTGTGCTCAGGTTCCCAGTGCAATGTTGGTTAATGATGCGGCTGTGGCCATGGCCTGGAATGTCCAAAGAGAACCAAGCGGAAGAGCCAGCCGACTGCAATACAACCAGCCGGAGAACCGCAAAAGACTCTCTGAACTCTGAACGAAAAAGTCTAGCCGCCTCTTGTATAGCTGCATATAGCCCCAAACTATAAAGAAGAGCACAGAAGCCAAGCGATCATAAGCGATTCATTTTACTCCTGTCGAGGCTCAGCCCATTTGTCGCTCAAGCTTCATGATGTATGAACAAGAAGCATACGGTGAAACAGGAGCACTATGGAGCACTGGCAATTCTCCCCTTGTAGACTTGCACTAAACTTACTGGTCCCCGTTCTCAAGCGATCGACGGTTTTCTGTAACGCGGCTGGGAAGAAGCTTTCAGACAAAACAATATGTGAGTTCCTTCGTCTTTGCACATCCTTATCATCCTTGGGCCTTGGTCCCAATATGCAAAAATGATGGTTTGCTCCTCCAATGCCGTTACAACTGCGAGCCAACCAGACCCATTTGGTCGTATGTGGCCTTTCGGGAAAGCGCCGCTTGGCATCGCTATATAGATTTGAGATGATTTGAGTCTCTTATTGCACTGGTCCAGCCTTTTGCCCTTTTTTCAGGGTGCCCATGGGTGCCCTTTTGTCCAAGGAAAAACGCCAGGAGAAAGGATGACAAAGGGTGATACAATATTTATTGTGATATACTGTATCCTACTGCACACTCTTTGTATCCATGTCCGCAGGCACGCACTCAGTACGCACACAGAATAATATTATATCATATCATATCATATCATATCATATTATCATTCATTTACTGTATAGGAGATATGTAAGACTTCACGTGCAAAAGCATCTGTGATCTGCATACTCGACGCCTACGCCATAGAGATTCGGTTCCACTGAGGCTACTCAGGCGTGGCCGAGCTGTACGAACTGTTGAAGCCGCTACTGCCGGAAGGGGTAGCAACTTGGCAGACGACTTGAGAAAGCCCTCTGTCCAAATGTGATCGCAGGGAATGTCATTCTGAGTCTGGATCGAACATACAGATGGCTCGAGACTCGAGACCCTACAGCATCAGGGTTCCCAGCTGCTAAGAGCTGCTAAGTGCAAGCATCACAAGCATCGCAATCACCCGATGTGAGCTTGGCCTCCACAGGTCCTGATTCCCCGAGATGGGCTTTGCTCCACGGAAGCGCTAAATCGCTATGTGAGGCAGATTGCTCAGGATGTCTATCAACACTCAAGTGCAAAACAATTTCCCGCATCGCGAAATACAGCACATTGTTGGGACTTGCAGGCAACGTTGCATTTTTGATCACCTGACTGATTGATCCAGTAGTCTGGTGACATAAAGCAAATTAAAGCAAGAAGCGCAGATTCTAATGTTGTTCCAACATGTTCCAACATGTTCCAAATGTTTCTTGCATCTTTGAGGTGGGCGCGGGCGGCCTTCTTCATACGGGTGGAAGCATCTGATGCAGTTCGCGAGGCTGGCCATCTAAACATATTCGGCTTCTGAATTGAGATTTTATGTTCAAAAAAAACAACCAGCAGTTCCCAGTCGGTTGTCCAAGCATCAGGCAATAATATAGAATAATAGATTTATCACTATCATCAGCGTTTGTCATGATGTTACAAACATAATTGTCAGTGCATGTCATGGTATGTCATGGTATGTCATTGGTTTCCTTCAGCTGCCCTGCCCTTGTAACGGCCCTATATAAATTTTGGAGGCCAACGGCTGGAAGAGCCAATTTGGTCCGGAGGACTTGGTACGGGATGATCACTGGACTGAGCTTGCCTTGGATGAGTGGGACGGCTGGGATGCTGTGGCTTGGCTGAGAAGGCGTAAAAAAACAATATGGTGCAACGACGTGCGACGTCTAAAAATAATACAACAGTGATAGAACAGCCTGTAGAGATTTTTTAACCTTGCCAAACTCTGAGCAGGTGATTCAAAATGATGGAGATAGCTCAACCCTGTGCGCAGAAGCGCATCGCTTGGCCGCGTGTGTCGCGGAATTGAGAAGGACTGCCATGATCTCAGACTCTCAGAGCTATGTAAGTCCCAAAAGCCTTCACTGAAGCATCCACGCCTACAGTGGGAATAGCCGCCCATGAATATTGTGGCATGTGGCATCACGTAAGTTCTTGTTTCATTCTGGAGCCACAATGCAACGCAGAGATGCAGGAAGCCGGAGTTGTCACGGCACATCGCTTTGCCAGAAGGTGAAGTGAAGCGGACTGAGCCACTGGGTAGAGATTTGATACAGTTCTTGCATGTTTTTGCATGTTCTTGCTGAACATCGTCCTTTGACATGGTTCTTTTGTTTGGTGCATTTGTCAGTCACAGAAGGGTTTGCATCTGTTTTTTCTAATATTTTGAACTTGCATGTCCTTGAAATTCTGGACCTTGCACTTGTCCCAAGGTTTACAACGGTGATGCCGGAGTGCATGAGATTGGGCGGTGCAGAAGCATATGTCCCATCCCAGGCGATATGACCAACCTGTTTGGTGTGAGATGTGTCAACGTTTTGAGCGTTTCACTTCCCGTTGCAAGGTCACCGAGTGTCCAAAGCTTGTGGTCTGTGAAGGCGAGGAGCGTCTCGTCAACTCGGTGAACAGTTGTAAATTCTGCTGCTTATGTGAATCAAAACTGACTGTGATGGTTACGATGGTTGAGAATCTTGCCTGTAGGGCAAAGCGTTGTCATGGATCATTAATTAATATTAAAATATATAGACTCGTAGACGCTTCCTCAACATCACCCAAATGCCGTGATGTGTGTGTGTGTACGAACAAATTTCAAAAGTTGATTGGAGTTGAGTGGTTGGTGGGGGAATATGCACACGTGGACTGCACGTGACATTATATACGCGACTAATATGGGAAAGGAGGTGATGCTGGTGCCACTTGACAGGCATCAAGGTGCAGCCTTTCACCTCGCACCAGTCCGAAGTGCCGTCTCCATTTTCTGGAACAGGTTCGGTGCCGGGTCACTGAGGCGCACTAAGTCATTATGGCTGGGAGCCTTGCGGAAATTATGTTTTGAGAATTTTTGAGATATTGCGATCACTATTCTGTAGTCAGTTTCTTTGGGTCGCTCAAAGTTCAAATCCTGATACAGATTCCTGTCATCTCCTGTCTCATTCTGCAGTTGCTCGAACAGAACCAGTTCCGGAACATCCTGAGGCCTTGGCTTTTTCGTTGGCTGATTCACTCAAGATGTTTCACTTTGCACTTGCAGGAAGCGTGTGGAACATTGTGAAAGTGCTAGTTTGCACAGTCCATGCAGCGTAGCTGTTGTGCTCAAGCCACTTTGCGAGTTGTTCTGCCAAAGTCGTAAGTGCCAGTGTGGCACGTTGCAAAACTTCTTGTAATTTCTTGCTATGGGCGCACAAATCGCCAAGACCTGGGCACAGCTCACTGGCACCAGGGAGATGAAAGTTTTGATGCTTGGTTTGGATTGCGCTGGAAAGACCACCATCTTGCATAAAGCAGGGCTGGCAGATGTGCGCACCATCCCAAAAATCGGCTTTAACTTCGAAACTGGAAGATCTCGGGGGAATTTTCAACTGGACATGACATTTACGGTGTTGGATTTGGGAAGTCCGAAGATGCGGGAGGTCTTTCGTTCCTGCTATGAGGGCGTGGATGGTTTGATTTTTGTGGTCGACAGTCATGACCGCGAACGTATTGGTGATGCCGCAGAGGAGTTGGGACGACTTATGCAGGAGGTGGCTTTGAAAAATGCTCCGCTACTTGTTTTGGCCAACAAGCAAGACCTACCAGGCGTCATGACTGTCCCCGAGATCCAAGAAACCCTGGAATTGACAAAGCTTCAAGACAGGACATGGTCGATTTTGTCTGCAGTGGCTCAGACGAACAGTGGTCTACACGAAGGCTTGGAGTGGCTGGCTGACAGTCTTTGTCGCAAGTGAGCATGGCCAGCAGGCAGTTGAAGTTTTGATGAGTTGGTTGGTGCATGTTGATGCCATGTTTTGCTTAAAGCAAGGCATGTAGTATCAAACTAGGCCTATGCAGACTTGCTGGATGAGTGAGTGTGGCCTTGAAGTTTGGTGCGGTTTCTGCCAATTGGAAGATGTACAGATTCATACAGATTCTCAAGTGCAGATACCATGCCTTGGGACACAAGTTTAGCTTTCGCCCAGGTGCCAGAGTCGATCATGCCCAGTCCATAACAAATGCCCACTAATGCAAAATCACACCAAACGAATCCAAACGATCCAAATTGACAGATCAAGGATGGCTGAGGATTGCTGCGCCCCCTTGTACAGTATGCTTATATCTTAATATATATATTCTTATAACTTATATCTTATGTAATCTTATATATATATAATTATATATATATATATTGGAGACCCACCAGTTCAGCGCTTCTGTTCAATCCTCCTGCAGGTGCTTGCTGCCGCAGAAGAGAACGAAACCGGGCAGTGGGAACGAACCAGGCAACTGGCGCAACGGTTGTGGTATCATACCACAGGACGTCACTTGCAAATACTTGGAATGCAATGATGTAGGCTTGGCAAAGCATGGCAAAGCAGGAATGGCTGGAATGTCATAGGATGGGATAAGCCAGGCAACCAAGAGTTGAGCCAGTGCAGCCAGCACCATGCGATGCGTTTGAAACATCTTGGTCATGGGGTCAGTGGCTTAGCGAGCAGTGTGAGGTGCTGACATTCGCCTGAATGTTAATGGTACTCGGATGATCTCTGATGTGATGTGTATGGATGGTAGCATGCAAGAATCTGATTCAATATTTTCAGACTTGTATCCGAAGTTGTGTCCAAAAATGCCACTTACATCCACTTACAAACAAGACAATGACATGCAATGACCATCACCTGCCATCCTAGGATACAGCAGCTGGACGTGGAGTCGCGGTTGGGATCATTGGAGGTGGCGATCGAGTCAGGAGCGCTCCCATGCTGTTAGACCGGATGGACTTGATTCCTCATGCCCCTGATGCCCCTCATGCCTCTTCTCCTTTTCTGAGGGTACGTTCCTGCGGTTAAAAGGGCGCACCCTGTATGTCGTAGAGTCGTAGACTCTACTTCCACGCAACTGCTCTAACAGGGAGTAGTCGGTCCTACAAGCCATGAAAAGTCAATTCACGCAGATTGTTCTTGGATGTTTTTGGTCCTTTGGCCCAGGCCTTTTTTGCACGGGAACAGATGTCTTTTCATGGCCAAGCCATGATGCTTTTAGGAAGGGCACGCGTCCCCCCTCGACTATGGCATCTGAATGGCGCTCAGTGGGACTTCCAGCGCTGCATTGCATGGTACCGAGAACTCAACAAACGCCGGCCGTACAGCCTCGCATTTGGCATGCTGTCTGGTAAAGCTGTTCTGTGTGATGCCTTCTCGCAAGCTGTGCTTGAAGGCCATGAGTTAGACAAGCCACGCATGCTGTCAGCCGGACTCTTTGGGGGTCTTTGGCAAGGATGTGGGCAATACTTTGTCTACAATGTGGCTTTCACCTCTTTAATTGGAGCCGGTACATGCACAAAGACGGTCTTGAAGAAGCTCGCAGCAGACTGCTTCATACATACGCCCTTCATGTGGTTGCCAGTGAATCTGTCTATGTACGAGATGATCAAGAATGGCAGCTTGAACCGCGTTCCAGATCGCTGGCGCTCAGAAGTAATACCAACCATGAAAGTTTACTGCATGGTGTGGCCAGGGGTCAATTTCCTGAACTTCATGTTCGTCCCCATAGAGCTGCGCATGACGGTAATCTTCTTTGCCTCTATTTTCTGGTACCTCGGTGCCACGTATGTGACCCACGGCTCTGCGCACAGGGCATAGCAACGGAAACAGCTGCCTCCTCTGGGAAAAGTTTGCGTGCTGCTGCTCTGTGCATTGTCAGGCTTGAACTTTTCAACCTTGCACACATGACAACAGTTGCCCAGCAAGATCCAAGAATTGTGACCCACACGTTGTGAGTTGTTGGAAAGGAGAATAACTATGAACAGCTGATGATAACTGAATTGAATTTCCTCGCACATCCACGTACACTTATATAATCTTATATATATATTATCACAATCTCATGATCCCCAGTATATCAAACTGTGCCAGCATCCCTACATCCCACTTGCACCTGGCTCCACGTCGCAAGACGTTCTATTTACAACATTGGATAGCCTCAATTGATCCTCAGAGTCCTGCAGGATTGGGATTCTTGGAATTGGGCCGAGGCACTTAGAGTTCTTTGACTGTCAGGGTTGCAAGCACAACGACGTAGATCTGACACACCATGAGGGAAAGGTTCAAGGAGGCAATCAGGCAGCAATCAGCTAACCAATCATGAGGTTTTGAAAAGCAAGTGTCTTACCGGCCAATGGCTTCGCTGCACAGGCTGGAAAGAATTGGGGTGCGAGAAGATTTGAACCCAGCGACTGACAAATCTGCGGGGCAAAAAGGATTCAGATCGTAAGAGCCTTCGAGTCAGCGCTGGTTCCCCATTTTCTTTCCTGGTTGTCCGGGTGGGGTGACGGGTCCCTCTGGTGAAAGCATCTCACCAATTATATATCTCAATATCTTAATCTCAACAAATGGTTTGCTACAGGCAGATGTTGAAGACGGTACCGGTGGTATAAAATAGAGCTGTTCCCTTGTAAAAAGCAGTCAGGTGAAGGGGGTACCTGTAGCGTTTAGTATGCGTTTCACAGACATTGGATTATACATGCCAGACCTTGGATCATCAAAATGGAAAGACATGCAATTAAAATGAAAGGACATGAATACAAGAAGCAAGAACATGAATGCAAATTGAAGGAAATAAATGCTAAATGAACAAAAGCAATGCGAATGAATGGAACATATTGCAAGTACAGTAGGTGGTGAAAGGTGTGCCTGTTCAATTCCCAAAAGGTCTGCCTAGCCGGAGTTCCGTTGGGAGAAAGAATCAGTAGCTGAGATATTCTCATGTTTTAGCTGCTCATTGTTTTGACAACAAGTGCCAGCTCAAGCGGGGCAATCCCGCTTCAGAAGCTCATGGCGAGCTCCTGGACAAACCATATAGACTGACCTCGTATAGACCTCGTATAGACCTCGTAGCGGACCTCGTATAAATGCATCCTTTTCCACCACAGTTTTTGATATGCAACCCTTCTGTCCAAACCTGACTTGCGAATCCGGAGTCCCAGTCTGAATTAAAACACACTGCGCATGAGATTCTGGCAGGAGTAGTCTTGAGAAGCGGAGTTCACATGGGGATTTGCTCAAGTGGTTTGGGCAGGTCTGAAGCATCAGTGTGAACAACCAAATATGTTTAGTAGCTTGGGTACCGGCGTTCCATTGGAAAGAGGCTTCTGGAAGTAAGTGTTTTCACGTCTACCAGCCGTAAGCGTTAAAGCGTTTCCATTGGGTTTCATAGTCCCCCAGGTCCTGCCTTTTCTGACTTAGCTGTGACCCGGCGTTCCATGCAGGAACACATATTCTAGCACCATTGGTCCTGCCTTCAACGTCCACCTGTACTGTAACTATAGTAATCCTGCGATTGAACCGGGCGAACCTCCATAAGCTCAACTGATTGGAAGTTTTTCGTAGCCAACTTCACGCAGAATTTCAACATTTTATGAAGTTCGCCTTCAGATTCCCGCGCGCTCGAAGCATATTTTCTTGAGATGTGGTTCAAGTCAAAGACCACAACCACATGTAACAATGTGCTGCCGTCACCTGCCGTCAACATGGGAAGTATTATAATTATAATGCATTATAGTATCTATATACATAAAATGACCATCATAAATGTCAAGCTGAGATCCCTGGAATTTTATTTTGGAGCTTTGAAGCCCTTTCTTGACATCCGCTGAGGTTGATCCTGCTAGAAGCTCAGATGAGTAGCCAGCAGAAAGTGTCTGAAGCCAACCGCAAAGCGTCTGAAGCTTCTGCAAAAAATGTTCTTTTTTGATGTCTTTTGCGGGATTTGTTTGACATTGACTTGGCTCCCAGCTGGCATTTTCAGTGTTGATGGGGTTGCTCCCTTTGTTTGATAGGGAACCCAAGGTGAAGTCAAGTCATTTGCATGAAGTTGCTGTCAGGTGCTGCCATTCCTCAAAGGGATGGCACTGGAAAGACTAAAGTGTACGGAACAGGTTGGGACTCTTCTTCGATCTTGTTTGGAAGACCCGTCTAATGCAGACTCCTGTGACAGCCAAGATCGGGTCCGTAAAATGTCAATCGAAGATCATCCACGGATGCTTGTGCACCAGCAAACAAACAGTGTTCACGCGATGACCACACAATGCATGCTCAATGCGCACGGAAACATACGTATTTTTTTGCTGTACTAAAATATTTATATGTTATTGTTATTATATGTTAATGTCGTCACATGCTAAGTGTATGTGGCTCGTACCTCGCTTGTGGCGGAAAGATGTGCCAATCGCTTGTTTCAGTAAAAACGTTCATTTTTGTACTGCCGCAAGTATTTTTTTACTGCCGCAGGTGATTGCTAAGATCGCATGTCTGTTTTCAATCGCTTGTGGCGGTAAAAAATCGATCCCTTGTGGCGGTAAGGGGGCGTCCTTGATGACAGGGTATATTAAACCAATCGCTTGTGGCAGTGAGCTGCTTTGCAGCACTTGCGCACATACTTGACGTTGCGTTGATGATATCTTTTTGGCTCTCACTCGTCGGTTTCTTTACTCTCTCCCCACGCGGACGCTGCGCTACGCGTTGTCTTCTATCCATGTGATTTCATGTGAATTCTACACATTCACTGGAAACATCGCAACGCTGACGTACATAAGGTTTATGTCAACTTCTTTCTCTTCTACAGGATTTCACTGTTTTTACTGATGTTTTGATTGAAGATGATTGAAGTTTATATCATGTCTGTATCCTTTTAAGTGGATCAAACAAAGAGGGTTGGAGCAACTTTTTAGCTCACCCTCCGACATCTGGGGGCTATTCGACTCGGTTACCATAGGTAAAACATATGTCTTTTGATAGCATTTGGTGTGAATCCAACCCAGAGAGAATAAATGAAAGTAGAAAAAGAAAAACGGCTTTTATCAAGGTGGAATTTCAGCTCTGCTGTGTTTTTCATATCTGTCGTTTTGCAGTTGGGTATATATAACGCGACGGTTGATATATTGGTTCCAGATACCGTGGTGATAGCCTCACGTTAGGATATACATAGAACGGCGCGACTGCGACTAGATTTGTAGCCGTTGAGGGAACGTAGTGATCCGTGTATTTCCATGGGAGGGTTTAGGGTGGAAACTTTACTTACATATCTAGCCCATCATCATCATCAACCTTCTCCTCATCATCATCCTCATCATCCTCCTCAACATCACCATCATCAACATCATCAACATCATCTTCATCATCATCTTCATCATCATTTTCATCTACACTATAGTACTTTTTTACTTGCCCCAAACTGTTTGGGGTCTCTTGCTAATACATTGTCCTCGTCTGTTACGTGTGGAACTGCCCGTGGAGCAAGAATCTGATGAATGGATTTATGGAAGCCGTTGCGCTTGATAATTTGGATTGTCAGCAATGGATTCTCATCCATCCCTCTGTTTTTGTTGATCCTTACAACTTTCCAGCTGGGTTTCAGGAACATGAACGTTATTGTCCTACCCCACCCCATCGGTAACTGATCAAGAAAGAGCAGTGCCTGTGTCTGCAAGACAGCAAGAAAGATGATGAGTTTGCCGTGCCTGTGTGTGTACAGGAACATGAACGTTATTATCCCACCCAACCCCACCCCACCCACCCCCACCTGTAACTGATCATGAAGAAGCAGTGCCTGTGTCTGCAGGACAGCAAGAAAGATGATGAGGTTGCCGTGCCTGTGTGTGTACGGGAACATGAACGATATTATCCCACCACACCCCACCACACCCCACCACACCCCACCGGTAACTGATGATAAAACAGCAGTGCTTGTGTCTGCAGGACAGCAAGAAAGATGATGAGGTTGCCGTGCCTGTGTGTGTACAGGAACATGAACGTTATTGTCCTACCGCACCTTATCGGTAACTGATGATGAAAGAGCAGTGCCTGTGTCTGCAGGACAGCAAGAAAGATGATGAGTTTGCCGTGCCTGTGTGTGTACAGGAACATGAACGTTATTATCCCACCCAACCCCACCCCACCCACCCCCACCTGTAACTGATCATGAAGAAGCAGTGCCTGTGTCTGCAGGACAGCAAGAAAGATGATGAGGTTGCCGTGCCTGTGTGTGTACGGGAACATGAACGATATTATCCCACCACACCCCACCACACCCCACCACACCCCACCCCACCGGTAACTGATGATGAAAGAGCAGTGCCTGCGTCTGCAGGACAGCAAGAATGAGGCTGCCGTGCCTGTGCGTGTACAGGAACATGAACGTTATTATCCCACCCCACCCCACCCACCCCACCCCACCGGTGACTGATGATGAAAGAGCAGTGCCTGTGTCTGCGGGACAGCAAGAAAGATGATGAGGTTGCCGTGCCTGTGTGTGTACAGGAACATGAACGTTATTGTCCCACCCCACCCCACCACACCCCACCGGTAACTGATGATAAAACAGCAGTGCCTGTGTCTGCGGGACAGCACGAAAGATGATGAGGTTGCCGTGCCTGTGTGTGTACAGGAACATGAACGTTATTATCCCACCCCACCCCACCCCACCGGTAACGGATGATGAAAGAGCAGTGCCTGTGTCGGCAGGACAACAAAAAGATGATGAGTTTGCCATGCCTGTGTTTGTATAGGAACATGAACGTTATTATCCCACCCACCCCCCCCACCCCACCCCCCCCAGTAACTGACGATGAAAGAGCGCGCCTGTGTCTGCAGGACAGCAAGAAAAATGATGAGGTTGCCGTGCCTGTGCGTGTACAGGAACATGAACGTTATTATCCCGCTCCACTCCACCCCACCCCACCCCACCCCCACCCGTCAGGCTCCTATCTCGCTTGTGAGCAAAACCAATCGCTTGTGGCAGTAAGAATGTTCTAGAATCGTACGGCCGCAAGTAATTGCTTTTGAAGAGTCTTACTGCCGCAAGTGATTGAATCTTAATGCCACAATTGATTTTTATCTTACTGCCGGAGGTGATTGAATCTTACTGCCGCAAGTGATGGGTGAGCCGTGTATTTTGTATTAGGTGGATATATGTTTTTGGTTGCAAGTTCATGTGCCATGTTTGCGTTGTCATGCTGTCACTTGCGTGTGCGTCCTGTTTGCAATGCTCCGGGCCGGGCAACTTGCATGGCAGGCGGCAAACCACTTGGAAGAATCCATTGCCATGAAGCCCGGTTTCAGACAGGCGTCCAAGCATTTCTCTGTGGCCTGAGCCCTGCCCTTGTTTACCACGTTTACCCTCATTGAGAGAATGTCGGTTGGAAATAGAGGAAGCGACTGGATGCGACTGGTTCGACCTGATTTCCACAGCGAACCGCCATGCGATGGGTACAGTGTCACCAATTTTCCCTGCTCAAGGAGTCAATTAAAGCCAAGTGAGCAGCGTTCTAAAATGCCTTGAACAAGTTTATCAGGGAGTTACAGTAGCCTATGGTGTCTTGGCGAGGGGAAAATAGCTGGGCACGAAAACCCGCGGAAGAGCATGCGACGCGAAAGCGCCACGAATTATACTCCCCCACATAACTGTTCTCCGCGAAAGCGTTGTGAAAGTAAATAACAACAAAGATGTCCCGCGAAAACTATAACTGGCATATGATGTTAGCATGGCTTCAGCATCCTTCCAATCCACATGTTTGCAGGCAGAAAAGCAATAGTGGCCGAACCATGCTGAACCTTGGCTTTCCATGTCTATCCAGCGCCAGGCCCACTTGGAGTTTCAGCAAGCAGCCTCCGAGCTAGATGATGTGGAGAGATGCAGGATCTAGCTGTGTGGCAATGGGGATGTCGTCATAATACACCTGTAATCTGAAGTAATGTGGTAAACGCTTATTGCACCTTGTGGTGCCAAATGTCCAATGAACTCGTGATGAACTGTTCATGAACACGAACTCGTCAAATCCATCTTGAAACGCATGGATATTCTTGGGCATTTTTCCCCCTCTGGAGCTGTTGCGGAAAAACATAAAAAAAACACAATTTCAGGAGGGTTGCCCAACTACTGGTCGATCAAGGTGGCTTTCGCCTTAGAGTTGGGTCGATGTTGAGAAATATCGAACTGCGGATTTCGAACTGTGTCCACCTGAGGCTACTGGGTCAACTGCCTCCAGCGTCCTTTGCACTTTACCAGCAATCCCAAGGCTCCAGCTGCAGTCTACCCTAGCATTTCACAAGATACTGTAGTGGGAATGTAATGGGATGTTGCATTTTGCACAGATCGCACATGCACAAGTTTGTTATGCTGGGACACCATGACCCGTCATATCCATCAAATCATTGGCAGGTCAGGTCGCAGCCATGGTACGACCCGCAGCTGTTCGAGCTCCGCAGCTGCAGTGCACATTATTTAATATAATGTCATATAGTATCATATATATAATAATAATAATTTTAATAATAGCAATAATAATAATAACAATAATCATAATAATATCTATTAATATCAATTAATAGACTTGTGTATTGCAAATACATTATAAATTAATTGATCGTATATAACAGTTATTATCAGATAATTATGAATATTTATAGATTATATATCATATTATATCATTTATGCGTAATATTAGGTGTGCACATTTCATATTTTTCTTTGTATGAAGCGGTGTTTGATTGGTGGTGTCATAAAAGTTCAATTTTTATGAATGTTCAATCGTACCTGGGATGGTTGTCTCAAATTAAGAATCTGTTTGTAAATATGTTTTAAGTGACCCGCTTGATAAGTGTGGATCGCTTTATTTTTCTGCAACTCTGTGGCGCTTTGTAGAGTCAAAGGCTGGTTCATGCCCTGGAGAAGAATTTCCATGCTGGGTGCCACAGCTATACGCTTTGGCAACTGTGGCAATGAAAAACCCTTCATGCTCGGAAAAATTGGTGAAATTGGTGAAGGGATGTGAAGGGTGAATGGCACCCTTCACCATTGCTTTGGTTTGAAGGGTGCCAGATGAAACTGCTATGGTGACTGAGCCCCTGCCTGCTGAGGCCATCAGGGGTGAGCTGGAAGCGTTCAACAAGAGCAGGTGCAAAACGATCTCAGCTGCGTAGATCAGATCTGACTTTGAAAAAAAATGCTCTTGTAGCACCACAGCTGGTTTTCAAACCCTGGAAGTTGGCTCTAACTCCAGCCGTAAATGCTATCACACTGGGAGCAAGTGACTGGGAGCTCCTTGTCGATCCAGGTGGAGCAGCGTGGGCTCCGCACACAGGGGCAATGAAAATTCGTTAGGCACCCAGAATCGCCCAGGGCATTTTAATGTCAAAAACTTCAGTGCAACTACTGCAACTATAACAGGATGGTGCTCATTCTGTGTCACCAGGATGGATATATCATGCAGTTATGACTTATGAATCATATCATTTTGCCAACAATGTGTGGTTATCATTTGCATGTTTGAGAAGAAGTGGCTTGAAGATATTGCATGTGTTTAGTTTTCTTGTTGTGGGTGAAAAGTTGCTTGGTTGTTGTTGCTTAGTTGTTACCAGCTGCGCTATCACCTATTGCCGAGGCGGCATGATGCAGACCTCGTATCTACAGGTGAGTGGAGAGAGGCCACGTCGGCAGAGCAATGGGATTGTCGAGTGAACTCATTGAATTATTGCTTATTTCTGGATCAGCCCGAAGTGGTTCCCAGGTAAATTTCTTCTCCGGACATGTTGAAAGCATTCTATTTCTATTGGACAAACCCGACAATACCTGTTGATCAGCTGTGATAGTTTGTGCCGAGCTCATTGGCTCCATGAGGTGGTTTTGTTGGGTGACTCAGATGAGTGCGAGGACCAACTGGCATCCTGTCGATTCCCATTTCCCCCTAGGTCCAGTAACATCAATGTCACATATTTGGCCATCCAGCTGCTGTATATTGTAGCTCAGGCTTACGCTTTCTGATGTCTCATAAGCTCATGGTCAATAAACAACATTTGGTTTGCGACTCCTAAGTCAAATTTGGAAATGGATGTGTTTGTTGGTCTCACCTTTGTCAATTCATTAGCCTTGTGACATTTGAGCGAATTGTGTAGTTCATACAAAACATATGTATGTGACGATCAGCTGCCCACCAGACAGGAAAATTGCCGGGAATGCCCAATGTTTTGGACTCAGTTGCAGAAAAGTGGGAGGTTCCTAGTTGCAACTCATTCTTCAAGATGCGTGCTCTGATTTCACGGGGTTGCTGAGTTGTATCACAGATGAACATATATATATATTACTTGTCCTTGCTTTTACAATCTTTTACACAGTGCCGCACGTGTCATTCCGGGCATTTCTTTGAGCTGAATGGCTGTCAAGAATCAGCCAATCTTAGGACTGCTGAACTGCTCCGGAGCTTCTCAGAGGCTGTTGAAGTTGGGATTGTGATGGATCCAGAGCCCAAAGATGTCTGATGACATCAGAACTTAGCATGCTTTTCTTGTACCTTTTTGTACCTGTTTGCATTTTTCGGTTTCAATAGTTGCGTTGCAGCAATCGGGTTTCATGATTTTTTTTATCCTGCAACTGATTACCTCAAATGATACCCGCTGGTTCCTTTGCTGGGATCCGCATGGGTCAATTGAATCTTGCAGCCGAGAGCCACCATCACGCGGCGCGGCTATAGATTTACACGATACATACAGTTACGTACACGTGTACAATATGTACACATATATATGCCATATGCCCCTCATGTGTGGCTCAAGGGTGACCTAGCTGAGAATCAGGGTTCTTTTGAGACTTTGAAACGCCAAGCTTTTGTGTGCCGATGGTCTGGTGCCCAGTGTGTTTGGTGAGTGTAGATAGTGTAGGGCGCAGGATTGCAAAGGCGCCATCTCATAACATGGAGTGCAGTGCCAGTCCAGTGTCACTAGGCGCGGTTTCTAATGATGGCAACGAATCAGTGGCCTTCACAATTTCAATCAAGCAGGTGTGAGAGCATTTTGTTGGACCAATGACTGGACACCAGATTTGGAGATGCGTGTTTTTTCTGAGGCATGGAAGCATGGAACATCAAGACGGCTGCAGCTTGGGCAACCATTAAGAGACACCCTGATGGCACTCCAAAAATACCATTCAAAAATCATGATGAGTTGTTTTTTCCGGCAGGTTCATGAATGGAGCCTACGGCCCAACATTGATCAACCTTGTGCTATCTGTCAAAGTCATGGTGATGTAAGGAATAAAGTGTAAAGTCAAGCACCAGTGGGTTGGGCACGACATGTGCCCGATATCGAATATCATTGGTCTGTACGCAAGTCATGCGAAGGACTCCACTTGTGTGCCACCGTCAAAACATGGTTTACTGTCCCATAAATGAGGGTGGTCTCAATCCAGTGATGAAAGGGGTTCATATATTTATATATATATATATACATATTATACAAATATATACCGGCATATGTGTTATAATTATCATGGATGACCATACCCATATACCATAATATTCTGAACATGGCACATGCGTGCAAATTGATGCCATCATAGGAGCAAAAAGACACAAGAAGACACCACAAGACACGTCATGTTTCGCTCATTCTGTACTTTGCCATTTGTTCCTTACCGCTTCGGACATTTGCAGGATAGAGTTTCAATGTTGTGCCCAGTGATTAAAGACAATTCGCACTGAGGTACTGAGAAACTTGGCAGCAACAGTCAGGAGCAGCTGGCAAGTGACATCAAATTTTGTATTGTCTTGTCCATACTTGTCCATGGATGGAGAACAAGATGCAGGGTTGCCACCAATTTTGAACCACGCTGGTGTTTGATGTTCGTTCTTATGCGACGACATTTCACAAGTCGGAGGGAGGTTGCTGCACATGGCTCGCCAGTAGCAGAACAAAAATGGCATGATATCATCACAGTAGCACAGTTTTCAAGACCCTGGAAAACTAAGCTGTTGCCCCCTGCTGCTTTGCAAAGTCCTTGATTTGATAATAACTGTAGTGCATAGGCAATGCTTTTGTTTCTTCAGATGAAACAGTTTTATTCCCAACCTTGTGATGTCCAGCAGCATTTGAATCACTGTGTGTTTTCATTTGCACAGTTCCACTCCTGCCGTGCCAACTCTTATCAGCTTTCCTTTGTTGAAGCGCATGGAGCAGCCATGCCACGATGGTCAGCGGTTTCGCAAGCTGGTGCCAGTTCTATCAGTTCTATCGACATCCTTTCCCAGACTCAGGTATATGTCTTGTGCATCCCATCGCGGAAAGAACACGCTGCATCGCTCATGACCAGATGGGGATTCCACGCTCAGCTTGTAGATGGACCTGACAAAAGCTCCTTCGATCTGCAACGCTTGATCTCCGCCGGTGTGGTGCTGCCTGAATACTTAGACGTTGTTTGGCAGGATGTTGAATATTTTCCTGAGGGCAAAGTTGCCTGTCATTTAGGACACTTGAACATTTTGGAGAGATTCCTTGCTCAGAGAGAGAAACTCTTTGCTTTGATTTTCGAGGATGACTTGGAAGCAGGACCAGAGTCTCTTCGTGAGGATTTGAGCCACTTCCTGTCGCAAGTGCCCCAAGATTTTGATTTGCTGCATCTCGGTTTCGTGCGTGAAAGTCGTGCAGCTCGCCAACCGGTCAATACAAACGGCTCCGTGTTTCGTTCCGTTGAGGCCTTGGGCCGACATGCCTATGTGGTGACCAGAAAGGTGGCAGAGCTGCTGGTTAAGCACACCCTGCCCATGTACAACCACGGAGATAAGATGTTCCAAGCGGTGTATCACCAGTTTCGTTTGAAAGCCTACCAGCCGGAAGAACCCCTATTCTTTCAAGATCGGATCAATTTCGAGTCAGAGCTCAGTGAACGCTGGAAGCCTTCTAGAGCGTTCCAGCCAACTGCAGAGGATGATGGGATCCGATCTTGTGACAGACCGGAGATGCTACGTCGACAGAAGATGAAGCAAGCGCAAAGCAGGTGGCCATGTAGCAACTCAGCCCTCTTCCTGAACGTTGATGGTGTTCTAAATATGGTGGACTCGGCTTTTTCAGTGTCCACATGTGGAAGGCCAGAGCAATGTCATTTGACGAGACTTGCCAAGGTCATGAAACAGGGCTGTTGCCTTGTTTTGACCAGTCGCTGGCGTTTGGATGAGCGCTACTGGGGGCGTTTGGCCTCCGCCTTGGTTCGGTCAGGGATCCCCTGGGCAGCACAGGCCATGTCTGCAACGCCTGATGGCCAGGGCCATGGAGCTGACGAGTTGGAACAGCGGCTCTTGGAGATCGGAGCGTGGTTGGAGAGCAACACTTGGGTGGACCACTGGGCAATTGTTGACTGCTGGGATTTGATGGGCATCGATCCCACCATTGGAGAACAATTTGTCAGGACAGATCCCAAATATGGTTTGCTTGATGAACATGTGCAGGAGCTGTCAATGATTCTGACTGGCCGCTAGCAGTTGAAAATGAGTGCAGCTGTCGTGCAGGTCCAGGAATGGTCCAGGATGCAAATTGATGCAAATTGTAAATGTAAAGACGAACGCCGAACGCCGAACGCCTGCTATATCCTGCTATAGTGGTAGGAAATGAATGGAGATGGGAGCGAATTGGAGCTCAACTGTTGGTCCATTTTCATCCACATTAGGGTGACGCTGCATTTTCTCACATGTCACAACATAAACCCACATGAGAGGCAGGCAAGAGTTGCAACGATTTATGCGCACGACCTGGAGTTGTATATGTGTGTCATCTTTTTTGGAACATATGGAGAGGTAAAGCTCTGCCTGTGTACGTATTCCGATCACACACACACAAAATTGCACGACGTTACCATTCCATCCATTACATTACACTATCTTACATTGATTTCGCTACGGTATGTATTGCATTTCCTAGGTGTTTGCTTATGTTTGCTTTATTTGGCCCTCTGATGCCTACTGTACGCTGGGTTGGGACACCGAGGACTCTTTGGTAGTTTTGGGATTTCCTGCCCTTGCGTGGTGAGACATGCAAAGACTGACATCGAGATGATCGACGACGACCGAACACCATCCGACCCGCCAAGAGAGAGACATGGCCAAAGTACGCAGCTGACGGCTTGATCCGTTTTGCGAGCGCTTCCTTAAAGGGCCTCAATATGATTCAATATGCCTTAAGTATCTTAATTGGCAGGGGTTGCCACTGCTGTAGATGTTGCTATAGTTGCTAGTCGGGGTGGACACAAACAAGAGCCGAAAGATTTCATCCGAAAAATAAAAACACATATATAAACACTCATAAAGCGGGCATCGATGTACTTCTATGATTTTCTATGAAGATTTCCCGTCGATGAACAGTTGTACATGATATCAAGATACAATGCATACTGCACACTAGAGTGTGGCAGTACTGTATGGCACATGCTTCCAATGTCTGCGTTTCCAGCTGAGAGTTGTGTTTTTCTGGTTATTTCCCCCCGGGGATTTGCATCGTGGAAGCTTGCGAGCGGTCGAGACACCAGTTTCGCGGAAGCGAGGGTTCGCATTGCGGAAGGCCTGCGGAAGATTGCAGAAGCCTGGAAGCTCTTGCAGAAGCACTGTGTTTCGACAATGTAAAGTCGAAAGGAATTAAAGACAGTATGATATGTATTAGGGTTGTCTCTGCAGTGGCAACCTTCGCCAAGGACAGTGGTTCCTGGCGAGAACGGCTGGTACTTCGCAGGGTCTCGGAGCTACAAATGTTATAATGCCAGACTGTTGTCGGTAGATGTCTGTATCAAGGGGCCAGAGCGCAATAGATTAGTTTTCATGTTTTTCCAGGGCAGGGTCAGGGTTGCCACTTTCCACTGCAGCTTGTTCCATGCCATATTGAAAGCAAACAGATCGCTTTTGCATGTTTTTGCCAGGCCTGTAAGTTTGCGAGGTTGCATTCTGGGTCTTGAATTTGTAAGATTTTGTAAGGACTCATGAGATGGGAAATAATAGCAAATAGACAATCATCACAAGAAGAGATCATGAGGACATAGTTGGTCCATCGATGGCTTCGTTTATGGGACATCCGGACAAACAAGAACATGACTTCTTGTTGTTTTTCCTCATTTTTTTCCAAAATTTCTCTTCAACCAATCCATCAACCAATCCAGTGGCAGTCCCCAAGGTTTGTGGGCGCCTTCCCAGCTATCGCCAGCAACTCGGAACAGCTGACGGCCCCGGTGAACGGCACCCTGGACAGCCTGGCGCAGAGTAATGCCGAGCCCGGGAACCCAACATGGGCCCTGGAATGGCGTCAGAATCTGATGTAAACCTTGGATTAAGCAACCACTGGTTGGCTTACTTGCAATTAAAATCAATTATATAATATTATTTCATATCAAATGCTTGCGGGTGAAATTGTATATTTATCATTATTTATCAATTTTGGTGGCAACCCCCAATCAATCAGCCAGGGCTTTTCACTCCGAGCGAACTGGTCAAGACTTGCTTTGCATCCAGTTGTTGACTTGACGGTGCAGCTTGAATAGCTTCAGGTTGAGCAGATACCTTTACAATGATGTCAAGGTGCAATGGGATCGCATCAACATATTGGCGTTTGTACATTTGTGGGCCTATTGCTGTTATATGCTGACAGCATTTGTCAACATTCCGAACAGAAATCTCACTCGGTGTGTGTTGCTGCCTCTGCTAGCCGGATGATGCTGTAGTCAGAAACATGTTGTTGATTCCAGTTTTCCTCCAAGTTTGATTTTGTATGATTTTGTGATATTGCATACACTGAGGCTTCCCTTGCTTGCAGCAGCTTTACCCGAGATATGATTATATATATATATACATGCAACAATAATAACAATAACGATAATGATAATGAATAAAACAAAGATAGCAATAATAGCAATAAAGATATAGCTATAACATATGCATATAGTTATGCTTTGTAGTTATGCTTTGTAGTTATGCTTTGTAGTTATGCTTTGTAGTTATGCTTTGTGCGTATGTGTATCATGTGATGTTTTGTTTTGTTATGTTGAGTTATGTTGTGTCACAACTGTTGTGTTACGTTCTGCTATCTTGTTATGTACTGTTATAGGTAAGGTAATGTAAGGTGATGCAACATAGCGTAACGTAATGTAACGTAACGTAAACGTGTCGTAACGTGTATGTAATGTAATGCAATATAAGGCGATGTAACGCAATGCAATGCAATATAATTAATATTTTGTTATGGCATGAAATTGTATGAAATGGTACGCCATGTAATGTGATGCGATGCGATGTGATGTGCTGCATGTGATGTGATGTGATGTGATGTGATGTCATGTGATGTGATGTGATGTGATGTGTTGTGATGTGTTGTGATGTGTTGTGATGTGATGTGATGTGTTGTGATGTGTTGTGATGTGTTGTGATGTGTTGTGATTTGTTGTGATGTGTTGTGATGTTATGTGATGTGATGTGATGTAACGCAACGTAAGATAGTATGATATGGTAGCGTTAAAACATGGTATGGCATGGTATGGCATGGTATTGTATTTGTATGGTATGGTATGGGTATTGGGATTCAGATTGGGGTTGGTATGCATATATAATTCACACACATATATATATATATATGGAGTGTGTGTGTGTGTGTGCGTGTCATGCACAATACGGCACCTGACCCGTCCTTCAGGTGTGTGTCAAATGCGGCCGACCGTGCGCCAATACCCAGAAGGCTGCCGATGTCTGTCAAGACAATTGGACGTGCAAAGGGTGGGCTGACTTAGGAAAGAGATGGTTTCTACTCCAGGGGCATAGGATGTCGTAGGGGCGTTGCCCAATTTTTAAATGTTGATTCATTGCAGGTGTTACCCTACACGCAGGACACAGTGCCACCAAATGACTCAGCAGTGCGATGATCCAAGATCATGTCTATTTGTATGTTGTACATTGTACAGATGTGTACAGTATTAATATTCGTGATGGAGGACAGTTGGTGCTGGGATGGCCATGTCACCTCTTGCTCTTCAGGCATGTCAGGCATGCGGAACTAGTCTTGCCGATGTGCCAGTCACGCAAACGGAGAACGCTCCTTGGCACTGACACAGGTGCTGTTGCCGTTGCAAATGATTGCCTGCAAATATCATATGATTGTATATGATTCATATAGGTGATGCCAATCTGCTCGATTGGTTAGTTCGGGCTTGTCAAACTGTGCCGAGGTAATGATGGGTTTTATTTTCGGGGTGGAGCGCACCCTGAAATTACCCTTGATGATCTCGCTCAGAAGGCCGGACCGAACCAGGTGGATCCAGGATGGACCGTTCGTTGGTGATACATTAAGGCTTAAATTAAGGCTTCTCCGAGGTTGAGGATATTTGAGATATATTGAGATATATTTGAGATATTCGAGACATCTCGGGCCCCTCATTTCATATTCTCATATGGCATCATATGGATTTATCTTCCCAATCCTTTCCATCCTTTCCTTTCCAATCCTTTCCATCCTTTCCTTTCCAGGCAAACTGACAACGTCATTGTCTTTGATGACCTGCTTGCCATGCATCATGGCTGAGTGACGCCCTGCCCGTCTTTTGATACTATCTGCAGCCGAGTCTTAACGGTCATAATTAAGATCATGAGATCATTGAGATCAGACCAGACTGTCACAGTTCCTAGGGTTGCACTGAAGCGAAATCGGCGGGGTGAGGCCAAGTTTGACAAAATTTGCTCACATCATGGTATGGTTATGTTTGGTTCAGCCTTGCACTTGGGCAGATGCAACGGCAGCCGCACTGGCTCTATGACCACTTTCCAAATGTTTCCAATCGTTTCCATTGGTTTCCAAGGTCCAGCTGCCACTTGAATGCCCTGCTGACCAGTCACTATTGCCAAGACTGGCGCTGGCTCCTTCGAGATCCAGTCACAGCGCGAGGCATTTGATCTGTGGTCAGATGTGAAGTGAGCCAAGGGAGCCACTGTGGGTGGACAAGGTGGACAAGGTGGACGGTAGGCAATTACAAAGTTCGTAGAATTTCCTGAGCGCAACACCTTGACTTGACAAAGCTGTTATATAATTGTTCTATAAGCATATGTAAGTTAAGTGCCTGCTCTCAAATTGTACGGCAGAACCATGTGTTCACGTAGCATTGCAATCAGTATTTGTGAAATTGCATTCAGTCGTTGGAGAAGTGTAGCACATGTTAACATTTGGCCTTCGCACAGAATTGCGGGCAGTATTTGTGCAAGCCACATTGAGTTGCTAGATTTTGAGCACATTTTCCCGTCAGTATCAATGAAATCGTTGATGGCAAGGGGAAAGGGAGGATACAGATTTGTAGTATTCTGCAGTTTTATGTTCATCTTTGTTCATTGTTGCGCTATACAATATATTAGATAATCATACAGATACATAATATATATTAATATATCATAATAGATAAATACATGGTTGCCATCACCGTAGTGACTCCGTAGTGTTTGGATGCTCAGCGAACTCTTCCATCTCGGGGCACGACTGCGAGGCCTTTTGGATGAAATGGTGCACGAGGCCTGGCAGGCGACGTTGTCCTTTTGGGCCAACGAGCGATGGAGGAAGTTTGTCTACAGCCACTTGGCATTACTTGGCATTACTTGGCATCACTTGGCATCACTTGGCATCACTTGGCATTACTTGGCCAAGTTTATTTTTGTTTGGCAGTGTCAATGGCAAATCAATCAGACGCGACACTTGGTTATGACGGCTCATGCAGTCTCCTGCTGAGATGAGAGTCTATGGGTGTGTTTGGTCATGTTAAATTCGGATCCGTCTTTATTTGACTACGCCGTATGTGCACGCATCGAACCATTTTGACTGTTGACACCCTTGTGGCACCGATGGATCGCTAATGTGAAAATGTGAATACCGCACATTTACTGTCTAAATTCTGCAATGCTGAACACCTGACTCTGGCATTCTTCGCAGCTGAGCGTGCGATCAGGAGAAGGAGTCACCCCAGAGATGGTTCGAGATAACATCATTTGTCGCTCGGTGACATCTGGATATGGGTCACCTGGAAGCTTGAGGCCCAGGGATGCCCAGGGGACCATAGATTTTGACCAGGTCCCATGTGGTGCCTGGCGCAATTTTCCATTTGATCATCGACCAGTGGCAGCAGTGGCATTACCTTAGGATCCTTAGGGGGCCCTAGGGCAGTGTTTCTCCGCTGAGGTGGTTTCAACTCGCCACCTTCGCAGTTCCAGTCACTTGGCCCGACTCAAAAGTGGCACATGTCGAGAATGTCAAGGTGTCAAGGGGAGGTTCGTTTCGGTTGCTTCACTATGAACATTTGTGAACAGTGTTTTCTGCATTCTTATGACGGAGGAAAACAAAGAAAATTAGCCATGACGATGATGCTGGATCATGTTTCTTAACAAATTAGTTGAATGTGATTGTCTCAGCTGTCTCAGCTGCCTTCGTGCTGCCTAGGTTGCATATGCAGTGGATTGTTTTGCCATTGATGCCATTTCACCATCAGATGCTCTGGCATGGCTTGGCCAGTTGTTGTGGTAGCAGACGGGTCCTCTCCTGGTGGAGTTTCAACAAACTTCATACACCGGAGCCATTTCTGATATTTCTGTTGACCTATCAAAACATGACAGATTGACCATGATTGACCCATGACCTGCTGCAAAGCCAGGAAGCTGTTTGATGGACTTCATGCACAGCGGGGGCGCTGGTTTCCGCTGGAATATGCCGCTTTGTTTGAAATCACAAGGGCTCTCTGCCATTTGCGAACATTCTTCGAGATACTGTATAATGCATCCGAGATGGAATGTATTTGATTCATTTTGATTGTAGTTGCTTGTTCCTGTGACATTCTGAGCTTGGCTGCCTCTCAGGTGAGTAAGATCTTGGATGTGCTGGTGACTGAAGGCAACACCTTCGATGTCAAAAGCGATACATCCGTGGACGAAATCATTCAGTACTTCAACAAAAGAGGTGTGTACTATGAAGCAGCTTGTCGAATGGTGTTTATATATGTTTATATGATATATGGTGTTTATTGCAGCACTGTCCATTTCCGTATCCGTTTTCCTTTCCAAAGGATGCGCATTCGAGCCCATGGTCTTGGATCCCACCATAAATAAACAGTTCCCAGCATCTCCCAGCCTTGTTTCCAAGGAAGTGTGGGCAGAGCGCTACCAGACATACTGCAAGAGCTACAGCTTGAGTAACTGGCAGGCTCAGTCGGCTCATTGATGCTGATAGTGATGGGATCCTTGCAAAACAATGATTGCCACCGGGCCCAGAATCCACCATAGTTTTTGCACAAGCAACGGGCTTCATTGGCTTCATCCACGGACATTGCAAACATTTGTTAGATTTTCATGGGTTGTGAGCAGTTCGGCCAAGGACAATTGTGCTTAACGATGTTCCATGAACATGATGCCAATCACATCCAGTCGCTGTGATTGCTGCAGGCGGAGGACTTTAAATATGTGGTCTTCCAAGGGAAGGTGCATGAAATTCAGGACAATCCACCAATCCATGGTGGATCTGACAACGCGGATGGTCAGCATCATTTATCCGCACAGACACCTACGTACTGTAAAAGGTTGCCATCAGGCATCAAGTTCTATTTTGTTTGGCCAGCTGGTGGTCAGCGGCCAACAACTAAAGTTGATCAGTACAGAAACTTGAAGCTCTGTGACAACTAGTGGGATGATCATTCCGCATGCTCTGCATCAGCCATGTAGGGACATCTGAGAAATATTGTGATCAAACAGCATGAAGCTCTGTTGCGCCCAGATGACATATGATGACATGGCGTTCAGATGCCAAACAGAAGCATTAAACTCCTGAATTGAACAGCAGGAGGCTCTGCCAGACGGCAGGATATGCGTGGGCGAAACGCTCCAGATTGATCCAGTCTCTTGGCATCTCTTGGTGAAGCTTTTTGTAGCAGACTATGGCATCACAGATATCACAGATGGGTTGAAGTTTGATCAGTTTGATCTTGCGTCGCACGTTCCTGCAGGTAAGCCTCCACCACGAGGACAAGCTGCTCTTGCAGAACTATGGCCGCCGCATGGAGAATGACCGTCCTGGCGGCACGTGACTTGGCGGAGATGGCTGCACAATGGTGCATTGCATAGCTGCATATCCGATAAATTCCTATAAGACCCTGTAGATTCGTATAATATCATATATTTATATATATTTATAATATTAATAGGAATATTAATATAATTAGCAAAATTAAAAAAATAGTAATTAATATAAGCATATAATAGAATATAATGTTTCGTCCTGATTGGTGTAAGGCCCCCCCCCCCTCAACAATAGCTATACCCTCTTTAGAGTTGTGCGCAAAAAAGGCGATTCCCCAGGGAAAAAACAGTACTACATTTAAGTAAGGATTTCAATTGGCTACAATTGAAATCTAGTTTTTTTTTTTTTTTTCGATGAACTTGTAGTACTTGTAGTACTTGTATGTACTTGTAGTACTTGTAGTAAGCGGGGTTCAGCATGTTGATTGCGTTGCCTTTTCCACCTTAAGTTTTTTTCTTAATGAACCACGCAATAAGAGAAAGAGAAAGAGAAAGACAAGAGAAAGGGAACGAGAGAAAGAGAGAGGGAGAGAGGGTGAGAGGAAGAGGAAGAAGAAGAGGAAGAGGAAGAGAAAGGAGAAGAGGAAGAGAAAGAGAAAGGAGAAGAGAAAGAGAAAGGAGAAGAGAAAGAGAAAGAGAAAGGAAACGAGAAAGGGAAAGAGAAAGAGAAAGAGAAAGAAAAGTTTGCCTTTGTAAAAGGCTTTTCTTTCTTCTCTTGGCTCCAGGATCAGCTCTGGAAAAGTTTGCTGCAATTGTGAACCCTGAGAACAAACCTACTAAAGTGAATTGGACCCTCTCATGGCCCAGTGCCTTTGAAATTTGTGGGAAAGACTGTTCTTTAATAAGGGTTTAATAAGCGGTCTGATTCTTTTGCGGCAGGGAGAAAAGCAATATTTTTTCGGGAAAAATGTTCATATTTTTTTACGCAAACATGTTTTTGGACAAAAAAATTGCACCCCCAAGATTTCTTGCCACAATAGCGAACCTGCCAAACAATGCATGGGTTCAGAATAATTTGGAAAAAAATGGCACAATAGCGAACCTAGCTACTAATCAGGATACAACATTATAATATATCACATATCTATTATACTATATATTACTATATGGACTTGGCACGCCTTTAGCCTTTGGCTAGACTCATGGAGATGGAGAGAGAGAGAGAGAGAGATTGAGATTATTATGTAATTATTACTGTAAAATAATAAAATAAAATACAATATAATATAATATAAAAATATGTTGCAGTATGTAATGCATATAAAATTATAAATCTCATTGAATCTCTCACTCTCTCTCTCTCAGCTCTATTTTTCTCTTTCACTATGCGCAGTATGAACACGTGATGATACTTGCAATGTATAGAGTGGTGAGTGCGCGACATTGCGCGACCCAGGTACTATAAACATCACAAAGCCCTGAAGATCGGCGACGGTGGCATTAGGATATGGCCTGGCCTCGAACGCTGATAGCCTTGTTCCGGTGCTGGTGAGATAAATAGCATTTTTAAATAGCATCATCCAAACTTGCTGATGAGATGAAGATAAGCAAAGATTCCCTGCTTCCATGAAAACTTGTTGGATTCTTGATGACTTCAGTGTTCCTCCAGCCCGGAATGACGGACAATGTCGTGTGAAATCGTACGCCTGCTGGAAGTCTCCCAGAGATGTGGTTACCGGTCAGACATCTTTGGCTTTTAAGCCGACAGGGGAGCCCTGTATTCAAAGTCACGGCGGAAGCTGTTGGGCTTTTCGACTGCTCCTGGTACTTCTGCTGAATCCCAAACAAGACACGGAATGTTGTTGGTTGGCAGCCGTTGTCAGCTCTGCTTCGAATTCTTTACTTATTTTACTTGTGACATCTTTTGGCTTTTGTTTGGGTGCTGTCACTCGTGGGTTTGCTCGCGATGCCCAGCACCTTCATCCCCTGTGTTTATTGTGGCCGCTGTCCGCCCTGGCCGCCCTGGCCCTGTAAAGCACACGCGCCAGCTGTGACCAGTGTTGTACTTGTATATAGAACAGCCTCCGACAGCCTCCTGTCACGGAGGTGTTGCTGAGTATCACGCCATGAGGTCATCCCGGGTCACAGGCAAATTCTGGAGGAGGAGGTTTGATTAGATATATATTAGATATATATTAGATATATATTAGATTATATTAGATTAGTATGGGTATAGAATGGGTTAAGAATGGTTAAGAATGGTTAAGAATCGTCAAAGATGGTGAGAGATGATCAATTTGTTCAATGTCCATGCGACACTGTGATGGCCCGGCCGTGGAGTTGATCTTGCACGGCAGACGCATCCCGCAGGTCGAAGAATACGGCTGGGATGCGGAGTGGCAACCTGTGGGGTGCCATTAATTGGATGTGGGGGCACTGCACCGCTTGGAAGTGAAAGTGCCAGTGCCCGTACAATCACGGAATACCTTGCACTAACATGCATTAACTAGAATCATGTATGGAATCTAGAATGACCTCGCAATGGCACTGCCTAGGGGCTGCAAGACCTCTTGGCATCTTGGGCAAACTGAAGTCGATCACGGTCAATCATGAATAATACAAATAGGTTGTGTGACTTTGGCCACTGAACTTCGTGCAGTTGCTTGGCCGCCAATCCTGTTACCAATCGCAGAGAAGTGACGAAAAAGAGTTCAATTATGCGAGTGGTATGCCTGTGGCGTAACATGCTTTGACCATTACAGAACTTCCCCTCACAATGACATCACATAGCGCCACTCAAATGCAGCTGCCACAAGGCTCCGTCAAAGTAGAGGAGAAGCTTTTCCTGGGATGGAGAGACTCCGGGACTAAAATGATCTAAAATGACTACTTGAAATATTTGCCAGGTATCCCAATGTGCAGAGATGAGGCTGGGAGAGTTTGCATCTCAGAGGCTGGCTGGCAACTAATTGACGGTGTTGTTCTTCAATGGGGTACATCCAATGCAAAGTCAAAGTGCAATTATCGTATAGTTACATGGTTTGATTTCTCATGGCTTTGCTTGTGGATGTGTTTGGATTTGCTGGATATCGCTGGACCACAAAGTCGGTAGAGCAACAAGGCAGCGGTGAATTCCAGCTGAATTTGGCACTCCATGTTGAGGCTCGAGGCACCAGGACAATCCAAGATGAGCACATGATGATAGATGATGAACACAGATGTGTGCATTCTCTCTAATTATACATCTCTTAATCATGTGCAGTTGCATTCTACGCTACCAGCCCAAAAATGCTGCAGACTTGCCAGCATCAACAAAGCTATGTCTATGTGGTATCCCAACAAGTCAAAGAAGTCCACTTCTTGAATTCTTGAATGAGATTTGAATCCTGAATGCGCATCAAATTTTCAAGCACGCGGATCTATGAGCTTAAAAAGACCGCTGATACAGCATCATGGTGCGCGGTGCTATTGCATGGCTTCGGAACGACTTGCGCTTGCGCGACAATGAGACTCCAGGGTTGGGGATGGTTAGGACATTTTGACATGCTGGATAATCTTGGGTAGAGCCATGACAACTGTCTACGACCTGCACGTGGAGGATCCACCTGCGGATGAAAAATAAGTTGGTCACGGGAAACCATGTGACATAGCCTACTGCAATTGACCGCAAGATTTCAGGGATGGCTGTCACAAGGAAATCCAATCCTCAAAGCCCATGCAGGGATATGGATAGTTTGGCTGAATTGTGTTGAAACAACTGGCAACTCTGGAAAATGAACCCCCGCAGAAACCTTTCTCCATGGCACAAACCCAGTCAAACCTATTAGCAAAAGGCTTGAACAGGAACACAACAGTTCAACATTATTCGATGTTCTTCGAAATGTTAAACATTTGAAGCTTGACTACCTCTGGTCCGGATCTGAAATCTCATGTCCAGTCGCTATGGCTGGTGACTCATCTGGTGACCAAGCTGGTGACTCAGCACTTGCAGTGGGCGATTGGATTGAAGTGCAATGGCCTTGTCATTCAGAGCAGTCAGAGCAGTCAGAGCAGTCAGAGCAGTCGACCACGAATTCCACGGGCGCTGGATATGGCGACCGCAACGTCGGCGTGAAATTTCTATGGTTCAAGGCCTTGGTGGCCGCGGTGCGAGACTCAGGGAGCGGGACCATGACGAGCCGCCGCAAATTCCTGCTGCGTTTTGAGGATGCCGAGGAAAGTTGGAATTCGCTACGGAAAGTCCAGTGGCGACGACTCCCGAAAGAACTTGGCAAAGTCAGCGAAGTCAGCGAAGTGATCCAAGTGACTCCCGATGGAACTGTGGAGGATGAGACAGGCTTTGTTTACAGCTTTGAAATTGAGGATGAATTCCTCCTTTTCTGTGATAGTTTGCATGATAGGCGGGAAGAGTTGGGTGACAAGTCTCGAGGTGATTGCGCCTATGGAGAGGCCCTCAGTGGAGGTCTTGTTTCTGTTTTGATTCGCCGAGAGGCACTGCCAGAACCCGAGCGTGAGGTGTACAATCGTTTTTTGTCAAAAATTCAGAAGTAAGTTTGTTTTGTTTTTTTATTGTGTTTTTATTGTTTTTTTTTGTTAGCCCAGTGATGCCCAGTGGCAGTCCTTAGTGACTAGTGCGTACAGTTGCCCCAAACATCCCCAACTAAACACCAGGGTCTCATACAACTCACACAACTCATACAACTCCCGATTCACCAAATGTCAGTTTCTTCCAAGATTTCCACGCCTGCGTTGATCGTATCCGGAGGCTTACATCAACGATGCATCCAAGAGGTACCGAAAGCTTGGCCTGGCTGGATTCAAAAGGCAGCAGGGAAGTCTGGACGTGCCAGGCCCTCCCAAGACCTCCGGGTCCTGCAATACTTTGAGAAGGCTGGGAAGTGGAAGAATATGGAAGAATGATGAAGAATGAATCAGAATGAATGAGAATAAGAATGATATAATCTTATTATATATTTTAATATATGTTCATATATTTTGAAATATATTGATATATATTATTTATAATATATTTATTATATAAAGCTAAATGCGTTCTATACGTGACTTCCCGAATGTGTGCGTGTGTGTGTGTGTGCGCGTCATCAAACTGTGTCATACATTGCTGTTAGACATCATGCCGAAACATATGACTCATATGACATACCATGCATGCATTTCTTTGATTCCTCTCCCGTTGGAATCCTTCGCATGATGGCCAGTTTGCTCTTTACAGAGAGATTGCATCATGTTGCACCTGCGGAGTAAAAACATGAGGCGAACTTCAAAGCTCACGTGGACAGTGGTTGGGCATGTCAAGCGCTGATCTATCTCAACGAAGATTTTCAGGGAGGGTACACTGAGTTCCCAAATCTGAAAGCTCGTTATCGACCTCGACGTGGTCGTGTATTGCTTTGGCGCTCGCTCTGCGTAGGCTTCAAGCCTGCAGTGCCAGGTACTCTTGATGACCATCCTGCTCAACATGTTGCTTGTGAAGTTTTCAATGGAGTGAAGCGAGTAGTGAGTCTTCATTTGGTGTTGGCATAGTATCAAGTAGATCAAGTAGGCTCATCCTTGCAGACATGGCTACAAAATGCTGCAAGAGTTGGGGAAGTAGTTGACCAGCAGACCTCAGTAGGCTTCCATTCTTCAAGCTGACTACCAGTTGTGCCTTGCTGACACTATGCAGTGTAGCTCTTTAGCATTGCCCTGCTTTGCTTGTCTTGGGTCAAAGAAACCCACTTTGAAATCAGAGTCTTTTCGCATTTGCTACTCACTTCAGGCATGCGATGAAAAAAGCTCGTACTTTCGACTGCCCACCATTTACTGTAATAGTATGAATTCATTTAGATCATCATGTACCTGCAATCAGGGCAGAGCAAGAATGGGTATCAAACATGCAAGGAGATATTTCACGGTGAAGCAGTTCGCAATGCTGCGGAGCTACTTGTGGTGCAGCTTGGTCTTCAGCTGTTGGTGACTTTCCATATATCACTGACAGGAGATCCCTGGATTGGCAATGCAGCTATTCAAGCTGCCCGAAGTGATTGCAGTTGAGAAAACCCAACTCAACTGAAGCCCAACTGCAGAGAGCCGCAAGGGGAGTCCTGTTCCGCCCATGTCAACGTGGCATTGCCGCCCAGGTATTGCATCGATCCCCAACATTACGAGAGAAGTTCTTGGGGCGACCACCGACGCTGTGGAGTACACAGGTGAGTTATCCTGCTTGCTGTTCATGGTGCAGTGACAGGGGCTCACCGAATGTTTTCAGCAGCCCACAGGGACCGGCCTTTTCAAGTTTTCAGTTTCAGTTGTGGTTCTGTTGTACGTGTTTGTCGCTTTTTTACCTTTTGCATCCTTTTGCAAGCTATTGTGTCCGGCTTTGTTGATTTGTGCAGGTTCTTGCATCCAATCCTGTGATTCCTAGAAAACATCGGACATGTCCACAAATGCTCATCATCATGGGGACCACATGGCGATGGAGAGAGAGAGAGAGAGAGAGATATATATATATATATACGTATATATATATAGTATGTATATATATATATATCACCATATCACCAGATCATTGGATTCCCCATTGCATCGGCAAGATAATTTGTAGATATTTGTAGAATTAGCTTCACAGTGCAAGCAACAAGCAACCCATGGCCAGGAGTGAGCTGATTGCAGAGTCGCTGGAGGTGCCCGTGAAATTGCCTCTGTGTGCCAAAATATATTCGGGTGTACCGCAGGCAAAAATAGAAAACCATATTATTTTGTATCATATTTATTCATATTGCATCATATTATATATTTATCATGTTATTTAGTACACATTTAGGTTGTAAGACGAGGTAGGACCTTAGGAACAATAGCGAGAACGAGGTAGGCAATAACTGCAAACCATTTACTGTAGCTATCAAAAACAAGTGCAGCGTTGGAGGACGAGATCGTGATGTATCAACTGCTTTCCCTTCCTCACGTATACATATTATATTCATACATGAGTATAACAACCATTCGCAATACTTTGTTTTTTTCGCATGTGGAGGTTGTTGAATCGGTTGAATGGTGGTGTTTGGATGTTTCTGGATGTTTCTGGATGTTTCTGGTGACTGTTCATCTCTGAAGGCTTTATCCCAGTCTTTGGAAAAGATCGGCTCCAAGCTGCACCTAGCCTTGGGACAGCCTGAAGAGGTGCGACCCAAAGTGCCAAGATGCGCCAAGCTATTGGGTGCTCTATGGTGCTCTCAGAGCACTTTCTATGGATATCATCGGTATCATTGATATTATAGAGAACCCGATGTCAATGGCCAAAATTTGCATCATTGCATATCATTGCTGCAACAAAGCTATGGCTAATGCAACTGCCAGGTGCTCCCTAGATTGTTGGCACCTGGCTCTGTACTGCTGTACCAGGCGCGGTGTGCCCAAGGCACCGTTGGAATCCTCGGTGCGATCGGTGCGTTGCTTGACTCACTTGCAACAGTAAACTTGTTGAGGCAGAGGACACCCACGATGAGCAGCAGGTGGAAGAGGTGCTGTTGTCATTGGGTCGGTTTGTTTCATGTTTTCTTTTGGCACCGTTGTTTTTGGATGATGATGTTTGCAAGCCGGATTCCAGAAACTCATCAGTTGATTGGATTCAGACATGACCCAGTTTGCCAGGCAGTGCATGCTGCCCTTCCACATGGTGTAGATGTCCGGCGCCACTTTGGTAACTTGGCAGCAGGGGCAGTCGCTGAACTGAAAACTCTTCACGGCCACGAGCTTGAGGCCAAACATTGCGCCATAGAGATGATCTTGGTTTCGAAACCTGGCTGGATCATGCTAAGACATGCCAAGACAAGCTCGTAATTGTATGTAATTGTTCATATCTGAGTATATGTTCTGTATCTTCCAGGCCAGAAGCGCTTCCACTAAGGATCTGAAGGAATGGTTGCCACTACCTTTTGGGAAGTTTTATCATGAGACCTGCAACCAAGTTCATCCGCGGCGTGAGCTAAGAGCCCCAGGCACCTGAACCCGTTGCTGAGCCACTGTGGCGTTTGCTGTTTATGTTTGTTTGATGTTTTAAAGGTGAATGAATGAATGATCACAACAATGCTGTCAGGTGTGCATGTGACTAGCGTATAATATCGTGAATCGTGTAAACATGTTAATGTTGCTGCATTATTTTTCTGTGGTGGAAGATACTTTAAACTTTAAACTTTATGTGCAATTTACAAGTAGTTTAGCGACCTCGATGCTGCTGATGTTAGTTGCATGAGGCCATGGAGAGCTGCCGCCAGTTCCAAAGATTGACGCCAATGCTGCAGAGATCTTGGCTCCTTGTTTGCAGGCAACACACATACTGCAAGTTAAAAAATATCACAACTATCTATCAATGATGTATCCATTTTACGCATGTTCATTTCTTGGCTTATTCACCAAAAAGCAAATCCAATGTCAAGGTGAGGCTAAGATTCTGCTAGCTTGCAGGTTCCCATTGGACATGATCACATTCAGTGCCGAAGCTTCTGAATTTGCTCGCATGTTACCCTTATAATATCTTATAATTATATTCCCTTATGCTGGAGCGGACTGAAGCATCCGGAGTCAATGGGTTTTCTCAGGCAGTGAGACCAGAGACGAGCTCCATATTGGAGGCGATGGGATTCAAGGTGCTGCGGCTTTTCTGGCAGGGTTTGTTTTTCTTCTGATTCTTCTATATTCTTCTGTTTGTTTTGCACATGTTTTGCACATGTCGTTCAAGAGACGAAGGCTGAGATTTGATGAGCTTCCAGGGTCGGCTAGTTGTTTTTGCACCAGGAGCGAGCTGAATCCACGGGAGACTTCTGGAAGGGTGGAGAAGAGCAAGCACTGGAGCAACTGGAACGCTACTGTTCGAAATCAGGACAGATCTGTGTGATTCTTTGTGAATAAATTGAATAAATGAACGGATTTGGTAATGTTTAGCATATTTTTGAGCAGAGCTTTTAACCGCATGGGGGCTAGTGCACCGCATGGCAGATGTACAGGACTGGGATGTTATCAGCAAACCCGCAATCAACTTCATGTGCATTGCACCAGCCGCCTTTCACCCTGGATGGCCATTGGTTGCCTATCACCGCGAACCGTGTTTTGGCGTGCTGAGAGGTGGGCATCCAGCAGAGGGTTGATCGCAAAACCCTGTGCGGAAATATGTATATTGAAAGTAATGAATCATGAAAGATCATGGAGTTTCTTACAGTTTCTTAGGTTTCTTGCTGCCAGCGTGTCATGCCAGTTCTCATTCTTCCCTGTGCATGTTGTATCCTTCTCAGTTCCCCTCACCCTTCATTCACGGAGTGTCAAGGATGCAGTGAAAACAACTTGTGGCGATCAGGTCTCAGTATCGGCATGAGTCATTTATAATCAAAGCCCCACAAAAGCCTCATTAGTTTGTGGAGCTCAACAGTGCTCTCCCAAGAATTTTTGACGGGTGCAGCCCACAGCCCCTTCGGCATTGAACAGTGCAGGCCCTATGATGTGCTGAAAGAATGTGAGGGTAATGAAATGGGTTATGAAGGATTAGAAAGGATTGTAAAGGATTATTTGGAAAGAATTAAAGGAAGGGTGATATCCCATTGTCCTAGAACCCAAGCAATCTAATTGAACACCTACTGTACCATACAGACTATTTGAATGTATTTGATATGTACTTTTTAGACCCGATGAGATCCAAAACACCACGGGGGTGAAGTCAAGCGTAAGCATTTGTTATATAATGAAGAACGTTTTTTTTGGGGGGGGAACACTTGAACTACAGTGGAAGAAGGTATCGACCGAGGGCGGTTATGTTGAATCAAATAAAGAATTGGCCAACCCGGATGGTGGGGAGAGGGGAGAGGATCTATTCACTCGACATTCGTGCAGTAAATGCATATAGATGCTGCTGTCATTTTTGGAGGTTCGAGCGCGAAAATGGAAAGGACGAGGACAGACTGTGGGACATGCATTGGTTGTTGGGAGCTCATTGCATTCTCGGAAATTGTAGTGGTCCATCGATTCTATTGTTCTCTATTATTGTTGGTTTGGAGGTCTTTGCATGTCTTTGTCAGGTGTCCAACGACAAGATTTCTATAATTTTGCTTCTTCGGCACCTGTAATTAGGAGTGTGTTACCAAGTCTTGACTCTTGACTCATTCTGTTTCCATGTTGCTGGATTCCGAGCATATTGGACGCAGGATCGGCGCTTCGATCATGTGGCTTGCTCTGATATTCAGCACATGTTTGTTGTTGATGGGCCCCCACACATCTTTTGCGCGAGCGTTTGCTCACCTATGTTTAGTTGGAAGATGTAGGAAATAGTTTTGTTGACTTGTGGAGCTTGGTTTGGCAATGTTTGGCAAATGTGAGGTGCAGAAGTTTATTTTTCAGCTGTGTTGGCGCGATTATTTTCGCTTTTATTGTGTCCTGGCAAAAGGTTTGATGTGCTCCGTCAGTCTGAGCCGCTGTGTGGGCATAGGATGGCATAGGCATAGTTGCACTTGAAGTTCCATTTGTGGCGCAATATCAGAGAGGATTCCAGCCTTTGTCGCCAGGAGGACCTTTGCAGCGAAAAACCATTGCCATCACTATCATGACCAACAACTGAACGACATTTAGCAGAAATGGCTGGACAGAATACAACTGCTGCATTTACGACAGGAACAACAAGATAACAAGACTAAGAAAAGGGAGGATCACAACAAGAAGGGTCAAAGACAACAACGTTGGCCAACACTACAAAGACAAAATGAGCACATCACATCACATCACATCACCCACGTTTGAGGTGCCCACTTTGGGCGGATGGTGTTCTTCCCTTCCGGACCAGCAAAGCGCTGGAGGCCGTGGAAGCGGAATGCAGAAGTGGAGCAGAGGTGGAAGGAGGGCAGGAGCCATCGTCTTCCAATGGTCTTCCAATGTGCGCAAGTCATGACACGTCATGGAGTGGCTGGAAGACGCAGGTAAGGTGTTGAGTTTAACACTACTGCGTTTGCTGTTGAATGCCGAGACTTCATGATCATTGCCTTTGGCATAGGGTGTTGTTTTGTATCTCCTGAGAGTGCTGCTTCACCCCCCCTTCGCATTCTGCCCTTGTGTTGAATTTGCTTGTCGTCGTCCAGGACGGGTGTGCCACTTGTTGATGCCTTGATGCGTGAACTGTTGGAGACGGGCTTTATGGCAAACCGAGGGCGTATCTTGGATGCAGCAGTGGCAGCAGCTCAAAATACGGTTCATCCGATTTTATCCTCGCATGCCATGATGCTTGGGTCGTGCTCCTGGTCTCGTGGCCTGCCCAGTCAGGGTAGGGTTCATGACACCATTGCTGAAATATCCTGACAAAAATATCCTGACAATTCCTGCAATGTTTAACTAAGCAGAATTGAGCAGAATCTATATATATATATAATTATATATATATATAGAGTCACCGTCGGGCATGTGCTGCTGGAAGGCTACATCGTAGCTTCATATTTGGTGTTCTACCTGAACATCGACTGGCGTGTAGGAGCTGATTGGTTCGAGAGCCTACTCTTGGACCACGATGTGTGCTCCAACTATGGTAGGGCTCTCAGAATTCTTAAGAAGACCTTGCCGCGGAGACTCAACACACCTGTTTGTCTTGAGAGAGGACACTCGCTTCATAGACAACATAGACGGAAGACGTCACAAATACCTTACACGATCGTGCTACCTATGACCTATTGCAAATTGATCCAGAGAGGCAAAGCTTCACCACCGGCCTGTTTTGACCCACAGAATCATGGAGAGAGAGAGAGAGAGAGAGCATAGAAATGCTAGATTCTGCTAGATAGTACTCGTGCATACTTATCATACTTTTGGTTTGGTCAGCCTTAACTTCGCATCGGATAGCACTACGCACCGTTACAAGAGACTAACAGGTTGTGGCACATCACTGTCAGATGCCAGATGGAGGGAAGTAGCCAGTGGGGATTCGACTGAACATGACTGAACCAAGGGGAGTGGGCTTCGATGGCGAACGTGGCTGTTGACTTGGGGGACCGTTCTGTTCGTTTGTTCGGAAAGAGTGGGGACGGATATGTTTTCGTGATTATAATGGACCGCTTGCTTTCAGAGTTTGCATGAGCTTGCTCCGAGAACTCCATAGAACTCCCAACTCGCTGGGAAGTAGACGGCCATGCTGCGCTGCTACGCGCCATGAGGAGAAATATCCGCTGGGGCTCAAGGGCCGTGGCCCAACTGGTGGACGCAAACCTGGTGCAAAGGGTGGAGGTGGTGACCCATGGGCCAAGGGAGTGCCTCAGAATTGATACATGTTGAGATGCCAAAAGTTGCAGCAGCATGCAGCAGCATGGAGCGGCTAGGATTCTTTGCCGTTCCCTCTCTTCTCCCCAACTGTACGATGGTACAACACATTATTCATACAGATACAAGTCAGATACACATTCCAATTGGTTGCAAACTGCTGATGGATTTGCTGGATGCTGGATGCACGCAGTGGCCACCATAAGGTGGATCTTGGTGATGCCATTTTCGACCCTTTCGAACAGGCGGAGCAGGGATGGGGTGTGTTGGCAGGAGTGGCTGAGGCCGGCTTGATGTGCGAAACTGTCAAGACACGTCAAGATATGTCAAGGCCACCGGATATGTTGCGGTATTCCGACAGATCCTGCAGTATGTTGCAGTATGTTACCTGTGTTACTTGCGGATATCCTTGTGACGTCATTAATGTGAGTGATGGCTAGTGATGCGTGTCAAGCTGAGTATTCGCAACATGGCGGCTCTCAGTCTTCCACCACGGGAAAGTCTCAGGCCCGACACTACGACCGCGATGAATCCTATGTGCGACGTTGGCTGCCTGAACTTTCTGTGCTTCCAACTGGTTCAATACATACTGGAGGATGCCCGTCCTTGCCGATGGCTTTGGAACTGTTGGTGGCATGGCTTTTTTATAATGCTCTTTTCATGCTTTTGGGTTTGATACGGTTTCATGCTACGACTTAGCCTCACTTCCGCTTTTCTGAAGTCATTGAAGAATGGATTGGGTCTTCGCACAGGGGTAAGGTCACTTCCGGAAGACTTGAAACAACCTGGTGACACCCTATAGTGATCTAAGATGATCTAAGATTGGAGTTTTCGCCTTTGATCCCAATCTACTATAATTATATACATCTATATACATACATTGATTGCAATCGATCGAAACATGGATCAAATTAGATCCGATTAGTTGATCAACTAAGCGAAATCTCCATGGCAGTTGCATCATGTTGCATAGGAGCAGTGAAGAGCTACCTCCCGCCATTGGCCACGGAAGCCGCCAAGCTCGGCCGACAGAAGCTAAGGCAGCAGAAGGCACGTAGGATGAGGGTCAGATCGGTCAGATTCAGGATCTCAGAGCTCGTGCACCATGCCCACCATGTGTTATACTCAATAGATCTCAGTATATAGTATTAGTACCACAGTCAGTCTAGCATCAGCAACCTAATATGACTTGACTTGTTGTATCAAATGCAAATCCCAGTCATCACGACTTACAGCAACATACAGCATCCATAGGATTATATAGAATTTATAAGCCAGTTACTTACACTTGCTAACTTCAGGGATCATCTCGGCATACTTGTTGCAAGTGCATGTGCAACATCTCAAACGCTTGTAGGTCAGCACCCCTCTATGGTATTCACATGTATTTACGGTATTTAGATTTATTTGAATTTGTCAGTCTCCTCTTCCAAGCAGTTGTGGCGCAACCTGATTTAGATATCACGAAAGCTAGCGTCAGCTAGCTGGAGTCTTCTTGCTTTAGCAAGTATTGGGGGGGCTGCTCAAGGACATCACGTGATTTTTCACGCGAAAGGGCCCCCCCCCCACCACCCCCACCACCACCACCATCACCACCATCACCATCACCATCATCATCATCATCATCATCATCGTCGTCGTCGTCCTCGTCATCGTCCTCGTCATCGTCATCGTCATCGTCATCATCATCGTCATCATCATCATCATCATCATCATCCTCGTCATCGTCATCATCATCATCATCATCATCATCATCTTCATCTTCATCATTCATCATTCATCATTCATCATTCATCATTCATCATTCATCATTCATCATTCATCATCATTCATCATTCATCATCATCATCATCGTCATCATCATCATCATCATCGTTATTCAATTACATTTTATCATTATTGGCAATTATTGTCATCATCATCACGTGATTTTTCCCGCGAAAGGGCCCCCCCTGCCCCCTCCCCCATATATATCATTGTTATATATCATATATCAATATATCATTGTTGCATCCTCGTTGGGACGAACAATGCCGCGACACGATGACGACAGTCCCTCCGCAACTCACCTCTTCCCTTCCTTCTTTCTCCTACCCCGCTAGCTTTCGTCATCCACCCCCGGCCTCAAGTTTAGTGCATTATTCGACAATCAAGTACCAGGTGGCAGAGAAGTGGAAGGCTGACACGCGGCAACTCTGCCATATCGCAGCTGCAGCTGGGCCGGAATTACACAGCAGAATCGCTGCAAGAATGGCCCTGCCTGTAGCTATACCCAGTGCTATACCCCTCTGAGTGAGAGAATGGAAGAAAGCAAACTCCTGAGCCAAAGAAACGTGCAAAAACTACAGAAATCAACTTACAGCCATGGAACTGAACTCTCCATATGGCAGAAAATCCATGAGCGAGTGGAACTATTTGAGGCACTACTGCATGATAGTATGTTTGATAGTTACTCCTGATTGTGCAATATTTGGTTATGGTTAAGTGACAAGTTAAGTATGTTCCCAAAACAACAACCGCAATTGATGGAGTCTTCCTCGGCCATCCTCGGCCTCTTGAGGCGGGCTATCCGACGAAGCGGGCGATCGGAGTGACCGTCCTCGACGCTGGCAGGCGAAAGCATCCAGGTGGGATGTCCAAGAGATACCGCATCGCCATGCATCGCCATGCATCGCCAGACGGGATATGACACGTTGCCCTTGGTGGCAGTTCATTTGCTGCAGGTCCAACTGCAATAGCCCCTGGTAGGGCATAGATCCATCATAGATCCATGATCCAGGACATTCTAAGACCCTTAAAACGGAACACGGAAAGGTGAAAGAACTTGGCTTCACTTCACTCAAGACTCTATACAGTGGGCACAATCGCTATGCGTTCCCATGCGTTCCCATATTCAACATCTTCATGTGTGCAGTTTGCTAATTCTGAGGCTCATCGGCGCATGAGCGAATGCCCGCAGTGACTGAGTATGTGACATGAGACGATAATTAAGAGGAAAATGAAGTTTGAATTTGATACATTTGATGTGTTATGTACTTGTTATGTTTGTTTCAGACTGGGGCTAGAAGCCAGGGACCAGTCTGCCAAGATGGGCGCGAGCCATGCTGGATTTCCAGCGTTTAATGTTCAGGTCCCATGTACAGAAGGCACGGCAAAGCCAGTGCAAAGTGAACCTCATTTTCGGCGCTAGCCCAGCCCAGAATTCCTGGAATAGTTCTCCAGGAAGAGCATGGTCGAAAAGATGCCCCAAAAGCTTGTCTGAAAACACGTCTTCCAGATCCACGATGAGCCGCTGATGGGTATTGCGGTATTGGTGAAACATTGTAACATGTCCTGGCACTCAGCGATCAAGTGTCCAGCAACTGCATGATGCAAGTACGCACGCACAAGAACGTACAGGAAGGTGCCTATTGCTTCCTGTATGGTTTTATAAGATTGATGGGTGCCATCCATTGGTTTCCTTGATGGGTGTCAATCTCCAAAATGATGTGCCATGGTGCAGCCAGGGCATCAAGCAATGAGAATGTTGAGATACTTCTGCAATTGCCCAGCTGGCTGCTGCCAAGGTCACTATTCTCACAGCTTTTACCAGGAACAAGATTGCGAAGTCACTGTGGGTTCAGAGCTTGGTACTGCTTGGTTTTTGCGAGTTCAGTTTGGGTTGAACATTAAGATCATCAAAGATATTCAGCAAGATTCCAATGAAATATATATCTTTGGATGAGGTAAAATGATGTAAAATGACAAGCAGATCAAGTCGCGAACGTCCAGACAGAACTGTGGATGCAGGCCATCTAACTTGCGGCTGACCTGCCATTTGGGAATTCGCATACCTTCTGGTTGTAAGACTCTTGGCTTACAAATTGAACTCTGACGCTCCAGCAGTGTTCTTGAGACAATGTTGCTTCACGTGTCTTCGCGTCACGTCTTATAATTTCCATATTTTTCCAGGCAGATTGGCAAGTTGCAGTTACCACGTGTGCCACACAGCACACTCCATAAATCTTGCGGAGATATGCAGAGATTTGACCTGTGACTTGCCCAGGATTGTGTGTGGTGGTGAGCCATGTGAACTCCTCAAAGTAATCAGAGGGTTGAAAGCCACACCACGCAATCTTCGACTTGGGCTGGAAAATCTGGAAAGACCAGTCCAAGATAGTCAAAAGATGTCAAAAGCATTGAGCAGACATGAGCAGACATTCATATCACGTGCTTTGCGCGTGTTGCATGTACATGTTACATCATGTTACTATAGTACTATACTACAGTGCATTATATTTTGTTCATTTATTTATACACAATGCATGGTGTGTGCTTGCAAATGCTTCCCGCTTGAATGACGCTCGACTCTGCCACGGCCTTGGTCCCTTGTCCCTTGTCTGAGGCTGCTGGGAGGAAGGCAAATGCATTGTCTTCGATGACTCCTTCGAGCACGAGGTTAGATATGGTTAGATATTGCCATCAGACTGCCATCAGACTGCCATCAGACTTCAGACTCATCAGACTCTCCGAGCAACCTGTGAATGGTGTGTCTGTGTGTGTGCGCGAAAATAAGACGGCCCCACTCACTGAGTCATTACTTTCACTGGCAACATCCTTTGGTATGATCTTCGCTGGTAACGGAAAGGTTGACAAAAGCAACAGCAGTATTTATCTTCAGGTTTTGCACGAAGGAGACGAAGCTCGAACTGTTCTTCTGGCCGGTTCCTCTCAGCGCATTCCAATCTGTTTCACTTATCAGTTCTTCATAGTTCTTCACCAGAGCAGACCAAATCTACCAAGAGATATCATGCTGAGAATCGAATCCCCAAAAAGCATAGATTTCATGAGCCCTTGAAGAAGATTAAGAGGTCGAGGTGGAGAGGCTACCGGCACATGCAGATTCCCACATGGACACCGCAAGGTCAACTTCTGGCATCCAGATGTGCCACCGGAAATGTTTGGAGCTTGGGCCGAGCTGCGGATGTCTTGAAGCGGTGACGGTGGAGGAAGCTTGTTTGACCTCAGTGAGTTCCAGATCAAGGGGTTGCCCCAGTGTGACCCAACCATCCACGCCACTGTGATCAATATGTGTATATAATACAATATAATATATATATATGTCATTACCAATGTACAGTACAATGCCAACATCACCACAATATCAGGGTTTCCGTTGCACTGTGTCCAGGCGCCATGGTTTGCCGGGGGCCCAGGGTTTGCCTCCCCGTCAGTATGACGACAATTCACAGCTCCCAAGGGCATCCAGGATCTGCTGATGTGGTGTGATAAGTGTGGTATCTTCGTGTGTTGCAAAGTCATGGGCTATTACTTAAAGAAAGTCATACAAGTCCAACATGGACCAACTGAAACTTTCTGAAACGTACAAAAACGATCACACAGGTTGCATAGGATGAAAAGTTCAGGAAGAGGGCGAGGAGATGCGAGGAGTATTCGGAAGACTTGGAATCTCATTCAGGTGGAGCAGGTTGCAAGCTATGACCGTCATGATCATTGCATGCGAGTGGTCCGTTAAGTCATACTTGCCACAAGGAGGCAACATGGAATAATATGAGGCAATATGAGGCAATGAAGTGCAAATCGTCTCAATTATACTTGTAGGAATTATATAAGCCATGTGCATCCATTTGTTAAATTAGCCTGTGTCGAATTGCCAGTTTTGGTATCTTGGTAGGGCAACTCATGATAAAATGATCATTACATGAGCATGATATACCATGATGATAAACCATGATAAACCATTAGGTTTTTGGGTGTTTTCATGTGTTTTTCCATCAGGTTTCAACGACACATTTCGTAAATTTGGGGTCTTCTCGACTCAGGATGAGCGCTGCCCGGAGTCCTCATGACCTGGCAGCCTAGTCCGGAGACAAAAAACCTCTGCGGCGTTCAAAAGAGATATATATTATACATTATACATATATTATATATATTATATATATATATTTATTTATTTATTTATTTTTGTACCCTATATCATTACATCATAGTGCATATTATTTTGTTGCATATGTTTTGCTGAATACTGTACTCAAGATAATTGAAGAGCGATGGTGCCACACAAAGGACAACAGCTGCAAAGCCGTCAAGATCACATCCTTGGAGAGCATTTGCCTAAATGCTACTTGTCCCTGTCTTGGCTGCAGGCATTTGTTGGTCAGGCAGGCAATTTGAAGGATAGCAATAAATCATGCGGGTGAAGTTTCAAATCCAGCCTACACACACATTCACCGTTCTTACATGCTCGAAGCTATTTATAGGCACTGCCTGCAAAGGTGCATATGTTGGTTTGCTTATTGATTGCCACATGTTGACTTCATGCCTATCATATCATCGCTTCGGCTTCAAGGGAACTCACAGAAGCACTCAGCGCACGCTTCGTCCCACTGCGAGCAACGGCACAGAAGATGCCATGGACAGAGGAAACGCCGGAAACGTGGTCAAGAAGATCAAACTCAAGCTGTTCAGACAGAAGCCCTCACAAAACGTCAGGCACCTATTGATACGACAAGATGAGGATACTGCAACGTACGGCAACCACCTGTTGCTACATGTTCTGTGCCTATCCAAGTTGACAATAAACCCTGATTCCTTGGGTCAATGTACAGAGCATTTACAGGTTCCAACATTCTCAGGCTGATTATAACATATTCTAACCACCCTGCTGATCGCAACCTCTGAGGCACAAAGGTCCTTGCCATCCGCACTTCCTTGCAAAGCTCTCAGGGAGCTTCATTAGTAGATTTCAACGTTTTGAATCGTTTTGCACTTTGCAGGGTCGCACTGCTAGCAGCCAGTAGCTGATGCGTGTGCTGAATGCACTGTTGCGCTGTTTTGTCTCTGTTGTCCGTTTTTCCCAGGTGAGAAGTTGTTGTTGCCATTTCTTTGGGATCGAGAGTTGCTGAGGCCGGTTCCCAGGAACAGTCGCGTTTGGTAAAGCACTATGTCACTTTCTCATACTTTCTCTTGAAAGTGCCCAAAACATCTCATGAAGAAACAAGATGCATTTGGCTGATTGTAGTTCACTTGCTCGCAATCAACCAGTGTTGTTTGGTGCTGACATGGATTTTGCCATTGTAGCTGAGCCTGGTCAGATACACAGCCACATGCCGGGCATGCCACGCAAGTGCTTACGCCTAAGTCATGCCTTGTGTGCTTGCTAGTTACTTCATCCCGTGTGGAAATGATGGTTGTTCCAGCTTACCATGCATCTGGCATTTAACGACAAAAAAAGAAAAAACAAAAAGCATCAAAGACGTGAATCTGACGGAAGTTAGTCCTTTCAGGCCCATCACAACGGACGATTGGAGCTGTCCAGAGTTGCCTGGCCGTTTCATGTGGGACCAAGTTTGAACAGTAGAAAGGTTAGAAAGCATGTGCAGTGCCGGATGATGCCGCGCACAGGATGCTTCAAATTCACAACTCGATTTCGAGGTGTTTTATTTCCAAAGGAGCAGTTGGAATCTCCCCCGTAGAGGGTTGGGAGTTAGAAGTTTGGAAGATTTGGAAGATTTGGAAGATTTGGAAGGAAAGTCACCTGATATGTTTCTCCTTGGGGTCTAAGGTGGGAGCGGCAAGTTTTCTTGTGTAGCACGGTGGCAATGATCCAAGATGATCCAAGGTCGCGAGACTTCCGCGCAATGTGGGTGTTAGCCTCAAGGTTCAGCGCTGGGCGGAGTAGCTTCGTAGCTCAATCTCCTCCACAGGGTCAGCCAGGATCAGCTTGATCAGTCTGAGCAATACGGCAAGGACGAGCACGAAGAGATAGGTAGAGCATGGACAAGACGCTTAGGCACATATGGTGCTCAAAGGTTTGCTGAACGACTTGACCTAGCCTCAATATGCAGCCATATCCTCAGATCAAAGGATTGGCACGACGACAGCCTGACCGCAGTAGCCACGGGGAGAAACTGCACTGTTCACATCCTTCAAGTGAGGCATTGACATAGATGAAGTGGGTGGGAATGCCCTCGACTCGGCATCTCGGAAGCTGCCTTTAAGTCAGAGAATTGGTTCAACATGTTCAACCTACACGGCGGCCATGATTGGCGTTGGTGCTTGGCAATCCTGGCAGGTTTCTACAGACAAGTCTGAAACTTAGCGTTAAACAGAATTGCTGACAACTGTTTGGACCACAGATGGTAAAAGACGAAATTAAAACTGATGTTAACTCCTGCTACTGCAAGCGACAGTTGTGATAGGGGCAACCAGCCGCATCTGTGACTGAGGCAACTGGAATCGCTGGGATCCTTCATGGCAAGCTCCCCAATTTACATCAGTTTACTACTGTGAAGCACAGATTGATTTTTTGGATCATTTTGGACTGTTGTGCGCTGCTTCTTCTCGCCATCCAGAGCGCCCCAAATGACAACAATGGCTATGGGCCCGGGTCAAAATCAAATGGCTTTCTGCTCATGCCACAATCGATCGAAATGTGTTGGTGAACAGGCCTGAAGCCTGAATTTTGACCCATTCCATCCCATTCCCAAACACGGGGTGATATTACTAGCCGCAGGTTGTCTATTGGAAACTGTGTTCTGTGATTGTTGAAGCGCTCTCTAGGCAAACTTGCCATAGAACTAGATGAGATGATATGACGCCCATCCGATCCGCAACTCATTTCTCCGAGGCTGGAATGGGCCGCCAGGCCAACATTGCCCGAAATATGTGGCAAGGAGCTCAGTGTCATGCACCTCGAACAGGGAACGTGGTTCGTAAAAAAATCCAACCTGTGAGATTTGACTCCATTGGTCCATGCCACATGCCGATGGGATTTGCCAACCAGTATGACATGGGCCAAACAGTCTGTCATTTGGGATGACTGTGGAAGATTCATGATTGAACTTTTCTAGCAGAAATTCAACAAACTTTCCCACCGTGATTATCCATGATTTGCGTTTGTAGATCAAGTAGCCTGCATTTTTGCGAGTGGATTTCTGGGAGTTGCACCGTGCCGCCTCCAGTGCAACGGCCTTGCCCTTGCTGCCAAAGCTGCGAACCGTCAACCTCCCGTGCCGAGCTGAGCGAACTTTGGCTGGAATCCAGTCAACAAAAGCAGAAACTACCCATAACATCCCATGACTACCCAACCATCAACTACCTTAATTTGCCGATGAAAATCCATGAGTAGATTCTATTGCGAAAGTCGCACTTGTTGCCAGGACGTTGAAGCATGTTGAAGCTCTGCATTGTTGCAGATTGTTTGCATCCTCATTGTTGTTCAAAGCCTGCAGAAAAGACAACACTTCAACAATCTTCAACATGCTATTTGAATCCATTTAAAATGGGCCTAGATATCCCTTTGCCTGGGCTGTTCCGCTTTGGTCTGAATGATACTAGAACGTGGAGCTGGTTTAGACACCGGATGATATCAGCATTCAATCGCAATAAAGAAAGTACCGATAGCAAGTACTCCTAGCGGTCCTAGCACATACATGACTTGGTTGCAAACAATATTCAGACCGCCTGCATCGTACTGGTTGCACCCCGCGATACCCTGCCCCCGCACATGGAATCCTTGCAAAGAACCCCTCCCCTTTGTGGAAAGCTTCATGCGTGATACTGTAGAGGTTGTAGAGCTTCTACAGGCGTGCGCACACACACACATGCAACAACATCCTGTTTACTAATTGATTCTAGATTCAATGCATCCCCAACAAAGATAAGACCGTTATTAGAAACTCAATGATTCGTCAATGACTCTGAGGCTTGTGGCTCAATGGCCTGACAGCCTTATGGAAACTTTGGCTAGGACCTCAACTGCGCATTGGAAACCATGTTGTTCTATGTTGTTCTATGTTGTTCTTAGATTCTTAGATGTCCGTCGCTAAATTGACAGTTTTTTTCCAATTCGATCCGTTTTGATCTCAGTATGTCTCACTGGGAGACCAGCTTCCCAGGTGGCAACCCTTCTGTGGGAAGCACCGAGGACTGCAGCAAGCACCGAAAAAGGAGCTAGATATCCATTTAGGTGTACAGGTCTCCATTGCAAGTCCGAATGCTATAGTATGCTATAGTTATTATATATGTGTTATTATAATATTAATGTTATATAATGTTATATACATATTTATGATCGCATAAGATGGATTAAGTTGGCATAATATTGACAAAATACAAATGCTCGAATTTAGAAGCGCAGTGGGCCTCCTTCAGCTTCAGGTCATGTTTGATCATTTTTGCATCTCCACTTACAAACGTTAATCGTATCTGCTACTACCGGCAGTTCCTTCCCTTTGCGATGCGCCAGGATACAGCAGCTCAACTTGCCGAAGGGTTGTCGCGTTCGACCACAGCAATTGAAGCAGGTTCCGTGTGCAGATTGTGGTCAAATATGTCACCTGGTTATATGTCGAATTGCTACTTGTAGTTTCATGTGGTGTTTGTTACTTTATGTTCTGCATTTCATGCGAAATAGCTCGATGATGTAATGATGCGCCATGAGTTCGAGAAAGATCAGTGTGTACAGGCAAGGGTTCTACCATGTTCTACCTGAATGCCTGTGAGGCACTGCAAGAACATCCCAGAAGACGTTTGAACACCACAGCAGCAGTCTCAGAAGTTCAGTTCCAGCCAAATCTGCTAAGGAGGTGCCCTTTTCTCTCTATGCCGGGCATGCGCGACAATTCCACTAAAATAATACACATACACAATTGATATCAATAGATAAGAGTGATTATTACTGTAGCATATATACACATTGTATATCATTATATGATATGCGCGTGCCTTTAGGAGATTATTGCATGAACAGGATAATCAGTGACGTGAAAAAGCATAAGAACGATTGAATGGATTGATTATTGAAGCAGCTGCTTCTCCTTGCTCGATGCAGCGTAGCATGACCTTGGGCTTGTAGAGTTGCAGTCAGCGTCCAGCTTGGTTGCATCGTTCATCAGGGATGGCTGCCAGTTGAGACTTTGGCCTCTTTGCCCGGCCCCAAGCAGATTCCGATAAAAAAGCAGCTGCAAAAAGGGCAAAAATATGTAACCCCGGCTTAATTATATACAGGGTGCATTAAGGTAAGTTGCTTTCTATTGTTTTCTCTTAATCTTGGGTTAATCCGCCGTTGACCTTCATGGCAAACTGAGTCATCAAATCATTTTGGGTTGATGGATGCGCCGAGGATGAACGAGAAAATCTTGAACATCATGTGGTGCAAAAGTCAAGAGGACCACTGCCACATAAGACAGCCGCGGTTGTAAGATCACAGACTTGTTGCTGCATACATGGCAATACACGTCATGCTCTGAACAGAGACCCCGCCCCATAGGCACTTGGAACCACCCCACATGACGTAGCATGAGGTATCTGGGTTTTTTCGGGTTAGTTTGGGTTAGTTTAATAATCTAGTCTAGTCAAGGACTTGAGTCAACTTAAGTCGTGTGTGCCTGCCTACACATATGTTGCCCAAATCTGCCCGCTATTTTTGATCTAGTTAGTCAGATTCATTCAATCCGAATCCCAAAAGGACCCCAGCCTCTGGGACTTCGAATGAATGGCATAGTCCGTCCTTCCAACATATTGTCTTGTCATTCATGACTCCAAGGAGATATCTAAGCAGGCAGTTCAAGTGCAGGAAACTCCCACGACATCTATGACATCTATGAATTGTCCCTTGAACCAACATGAACCAACCCAGCACTTCATGGATTGCCAGCTGTTTGGCTCCAGCGGGTGAGGGCTCGCTGGGCGGGCCGGGCATCGCCATGCCCGAGCCAACGGCCGATGAAGTTGCTGCAGCAGCTGCTGAGATGGCCTCCAGCTTTGACCAGCAGGTGGGGTATAGTGGGGTGCCGCCGTGAAACGGAGTGTCATCATGTGTCATGTCTCATCATTTCTTGTCGGTATTTAATGTTATTTAAGTATGTGTAAGTCATCAAACATATCTTAAAGTCGTTTGTCACATCTATGGGGCCCACCTTCTTACATGATTAATATAGTTTAAGATAGTTTAAGCAGGATTTGATCTTTTAATGACAGCGGCAATAAGTCATCCGGACAGAATTCTGCCCTAGTGTTTGTAAGGAAATAATTATGCTTGGAGAATCTGGAAGAAAGTTGTACCAGGCATTTGATTTCATGACCCCGAGCATTTTATTTGATGACCCGTATGCAAGCAAGTTCCTGCTACAGCCAGCTTCGAATTTTTCGCTGAGTTTGTGGCCCCGTTAGGTGGTTCGACATGACTCAACACATGCAACATTCAGAGGCCTTCAGATCCTTTTGTTGTTTCATGCTGTTTCCGATTGCTTTGCGTTTAAGACCTCATTCTGGTTACTTCTAAACACTTAGGGCTCAACACGTTTGAAAAAGACATATTTCAGTTGCTGGGCCAAGGGTGTCAAGCCCAAATAGTCTGACCATTGAGACAACTCAGGCCTCAGAGATGCGTGACTATTGGGATCAGAACGTGGGGCGAGAGTCTTGTCTGAGCAGATGTGCAAACTTCGTTCAGGGTTCGTATTTTTTAAGAAGCTGCTTTCAAATCCGTCAAAATATTGACCTTTGCCGGAAATTTGCGCAGCGAAGCAACATGGCAATGTCCGGCGGCCCCCAAAAGAGGATGGACATCAGCTACAGCAACATCAGTGTCGCACACCAGAAGCATTCACAAGCTACAGCCTATAATCCCCCATTCTCTTCCATCTCAAATAATTGCCTCATTTGCAGATCATGTTCCCACGAAACATGAAGATTTTGGATGGATTTTCCCATGGATTTTCCATGTTGGGAACATTTCAGACATTTTCGTCGACCATTCGAGGAGCTCAAGGAGAAACTCTGGGCCTTAGCCGAACGTCGCCCCGCGGAAGCCACGAAGCTCATGGGCCAAGCCTTCGCTGGCAAAAAGAGCCTGGGAGAAATGGCCAGTGCTCCACAGACCTCCGATCCAAATCTGAAACTCGTTGACAGCTTAAGTCATTGCTTAAGTCATTGCTTAAGTCTGTTATAATCCGTTAATTTTAGTCTGTTTATAGTCTGTTTGGATATGGAATGATATGGATTTTTGTGTGTGTGGGTATTGAATATTGTGTTGAAGATTTTGAAGGGGGATTAAGGGGTAACTATTGACTCTTAAAACATCTTAAAACTATCCAATTGTTTCGGGGAGAGCAGAATGGAGCAGATAATTTTACCCAACTTTGTGTCTTTTTTTGTGGGATCCCATAAAGGGTAGTAATGGGGTAGTAATTGGTAGCTTAGAATCTATGATTTCCATCCCAGTCTAGCTTGGGAGGATGATTCACGGTACATTTTAGCAGTGATTTTCATACTTGATATACTTGTTCATTGATATTCTTTGTTTCTGGATGGGTGGCTCAAGCACCGAGGAAATCTGCACCTCCAAGGGAGTTCCTGAACAACACCATTGTGAAGGACTTAGCTCCGGCATTGGTACAGGTCTACAACAAGGGCTCTAGACGTGTGGTGTCAGATTTGGGCGACATTCTGATGAAGGGCAAGTGAGCAAGAGTTTCACACCAAGTTAGTCTCACCTGCGAGAACAAAGGACGGATGCTCTTTGCGCTCTTGGAAACGAGGTACAGTTGGTTTGACTGGGACTGCATGGAACTGCACCAGTTTGTTCTGTGCAGGACGCATTTCTTCTTGGACAGTTAGCCAGAGCGTTGACGTTGCTGATCTCAGCAGGGTTTCTGCAAATGGGGACCCAACATGCCGTGCTGGAAACAGGTTCAGATTTTTCAGAAGCTGTCCTTGTGGTTCTCGCTGTTCCACCCCTTCTCCTGGAGGGTGGAAGGCTACTTTGCACACGATGATTATATGGGGAATTGAATGTCAGCCCTTGAGGCATGTGCAGCATGATACTGCATATGTTCAGACATGTGTTGATTTGGTGCTTTGTTCTCCCCTGTGTGGCATCTTCGTGTTTTCTCATCTTAAGGCGCTCAAAAGAGCTCACCGTCTTTGCAGGTCAGGTGCAGGCTCGGTTCACCGGGGCGGCAATATATGATTTGTACCGCGCTGGTGGTTCCAGGTTCCAATGGGTTCAAGAATCACGCGATTGTAGACTAATCTTGGTGGGGAGGTCTGGGCCAACTAGAATTTGTGAAGTTTCGCGAAGCCTCACATTTTGGTGACTTGACCTTCCAAGCAACATGAATCATTCTGAGTGGCTGGATTATGCTGGATCTGATCTCTTTGAAGGTGGTGGTGACTTGTCACTTGAAGCTTATTTTTGGGCCAAGTTACTGAAGAAATGAGGAGAGACAAAGAAGCATCGCGGATTTGCACAGCCTGCAGGAAGCAACCAGGGGAGATTGCACTGACAGCACCGAACCTAGAACCTAGGACCTAGGATATTTTTTTAGCAAGTGAAATTCAGCATGGGGCAGAAACACAGCGGTGAAGTCGGAATGGTGGAGAAGCATCGTAAGATGAATAGGGAACCAAAGCTTTCATGGTAGCGTGAACAGGCTCATTCTTTATTTGCTTTATCCCAATTTATAATCGGAAATTTATATATTATAAATTATATATATATATCATTATATATCCCATTATAATTATATTCCAATTCATTCACATCACATCATTTTGGATCCCACTGCGACCTTGCCTGTGCAGCAATGGAGCCACCTGGCCAAAGGTGAAAAAGTGGGACCAACTGGTGTCAACAGATGTTGACAGTGAAGCCATGTGAAGCTACTGGTAGATCATGTACTGAAACGGTGCTGTCATTTTGTCGGCCACTGTGAAACTGTGAATGAACATGCAGAGGCCGCAGCCGCAGAGAAACCTATATTCAAAACCCATTGAATCTGTTTGAATGTACCATATGCACCTATAATTAATTACATGTCCTTGGTATGTGCTGCATATACATTTACGCACATAAGTTTACACAAGATACACAAGCAAGTGCAAGCAACACACCAAATCACACTCAGATTTGATCAACATATGGATACATAGTTGCGTGCATATCTAGATTGATAATATTTGATAATGATATATAGACGGACGGACGGACGGACAGACAGACAAACAGACAGACAGACAGACAGACAGATACATAATAAGTAGATAGACATTCAGGCAGGCAGTGACAGGCAGACTGACAGGCAAACAGACAGACACAGACAGACGCAGAGACAGAGACAGAGACAGAAACAAAGACAGACAGATAGACAGGCACAGACAGGCACAAAGAGGCACAAAGAGGCACAGACAGACCAGAAGATACACACATAAATTAATAGGCATAAATCCTTGATTGATTGATTGATTGATTGACTGATTGACTGATCGACTCACTGATTGATTGATGGACAGACCTTTTTCACTGCAGCTCAGGTGGCCGATTCGCTTATGGCTCTTTCTGGCAGGTCCAACACGCAGCGATATAATATGTGAATGCATTTGCACTTGCGCAATCACACCACATGGGCCACTTCACGATCTTTCAAGAGTCCAGCAATCGTCAAACGTTGGCGATGAAAGCGAAAAGGCGTCGCTGCGAATATGCCCAGCAAAGAGGATTGCGGTGGTGCCGACCCTGATGCATCACAGCTTAACAAGTCATTTCATGCCCGCTGGAATGGCTATGAATGGCTTGCAGTAGGCTCACTGGTTTTGAAATCCGCCAGACCCAGTGTCCCAGTCATCCATAGTCGCCATAGTCACCCAACATCAGACTAGACACCAGATGAAGCACTGTCCTACAATTTGGCCAAGCCAAGGCATGGATTTCCCCGACACGGGCGTCTCGTGGTTTCCATGTTATTTGCATCTCCCCAGACTGCTCAGCAGGTGGGGGCTCTCATCGAAGGGCGGGATGTGATGTGTGATGTTTCTTGCCGGCGGACTGTCCTGGACAATCAAATCTTGGGATTCGTCCAGGCTCAGATAGCGGCCATTGCAAAGCATCAGAGCCGACTGCGAAAGCACCTTAGCTTCCGTTAGCTGCACCTGGATTGGCAGATGTGGAGGGTTTTGAAGTTTTGGGAAAGTTTTGGGATTGAGATAGGCGATGGGTCGAGTTGGGCAAGCGTAGCTTGTGTAGTGGAAGATGCTTTTGTGACGAGTATAGACAACCATCAGACTGGTAACAAGTTGGGCCAAGGTTTTTGGGGTGATATTTTGTGATACTGTTGCATAGGCCTTGCATGAAATAGTGGGTACTTCCAATATAATTACCTGAAATGCCCCCTCAGAATGAGAATGTGCAAATGTGCAATGCAAACAGTTCTGGAAATTGTTGCAGCTTTCTTCCGTGATCCTTTGAAGCAGCTAAAGTTACACCTTCATCTCATGTTCCAGCCTTTAGGCACCATTCCAAAGCAGCGGTTCTCACAAAAAGAACTGACATCTACGTTCACATTCTTGGTATCTCCCCTGTATACTTACTAATACGTCGGAATGGTATGGCATTATGGACTGTGCTTGAATTACATTTTGGCAACCATGAGACGCCATGAGATACGTGACATCGGATGCCTGCATCCCTTCTTAATTCGTCCACCAGATCAAGGTGTGCTGGGGTGCTGTCAAAAGCGCCCCTTATCTGAAATGGTCACAGATGGCTGGCTGATTTGTGCTAAATTGTACTGTGTCCTGGCATGTCCTGGCCATATTTGTCCACGTGAAGGCATAGGCCATGGCAATTTATTCTTGAAGCAGACATGGCTTTGGACTCCACGACCTCCGGACAGACTTCGCCCATGACTTAGGACTGTCAGGACCGTGCTAAGGGCAGAGCATTGACATCTCCTTGCGGCAGAGAAAGCAATTGATCATAATTGATCTCACTTCAGAAACTCTTCGACTCCAGCTAAGAATGAGGATAAATGTGGAAAGTGAAATCTAGAGTCTCAGACTGGAAGATTGAATTCACCTTGACCGACCATTCAGCAAGTTGAGGAAAAATATGCTGTACAATGGTGCAGAGTTGGATTGATTTACCAGTTGCTGTTTTATATGGGCTAGTGGTTTGATTTTGCTGCGTACACTATAATATAAATACATATATAATTATATACATATATGTTTGTGTATATATTTGTCACTGTGATTTGTCACCCTGCTGTTCTGCGCAGAGTTTACAGTTGCAAATGTTGCAAGGGATGATGTGCAAGTCTTGCAGTTCGGTCAGGAGTTGCCAGGATTGGCATCAATCCTTGCAGAAGAAGGGCCAGATAGCCTTGTGTCTCTGCAGGACTTGTTGGCGGCCCTGGCCTTACTTTTTTTGGCCGGAGAACTTTGGTAGCTCATGAACTATGCTAAACTGTGCAACTTTGGTGCAAAGACCAGGAAGGGAGACCAGTGGCGAATCCTCGACGTTTTGAAAGGCTGCTGAAGGTCGGAGCCTTGTCCTTCGGCAGTGAAGTTGTTGGAGGAAAGTGTGTCCCTTTCCTGAGGCCTTTCCAGTTCCTTCCCTTTTGCATTTTTGTGAATTGACTTCTGACTTGATGGAACATGATGGAATTGATGCTGGATGGCTTGCTTTTCACCATTGGTCTGCTGCAGCTTTCTTTGGTTCAAGGGCCCATGAATAACATGAGCTTAAAATAGTCTGCTATTTCATGCAATTGGCCAGGTCGGGTCATTGTGCTCTGGATTTGGTGAGAGCATGTTCCGCCATTGGAGCTTCGCGCGTGCTGAGTAATTAATGTCAAGTTGATTGTTCTAAAACTTGATGCGGTTGTGCCAATGAGTGCAGGCCATGCAATTTCGAACTGTACGACCTGTGGTGTCCCGCCCGCCACCTTCTAGAGAGGCCCAGCTGGGCTGTGAAGCAAGTGTGTCCACATCCTGTGGTGATATAGTCACAGTCATAGTGCAAGAACGATCAAGAACGTGTAAGTAAGATCAAATAAACTGTTTCCCCTAATAGTTTTTGTTAAAAAAACATAAATCATGGTTTGGTGGGATTTACTGTACCCATAATTTTCTACCATTTAGGGGGTGTTTAATATTACGGGGATTGTATGGGATTGTAGTATCAGGGTTTCACATTATTAGTTACATAATATGTAAATGTAACTCGCACGAACGGGGTTGAAACAGGTGGAGATATTCAATCTTTGGGAAATGGCTAGGCCGAGACCGTCGAAGCCATCTCCGTGCGGCAGAAGCTGATTGTGTTGCGGGAGAATCTCAAGACGCGGGTTCCCTTGGCACTGCTGAAGGACGTAAGAGGAGAGAACGAGGATTTCATACCATTTATATCATTTTATATCCATTGATCATGGCCGTTTCTGTTTGTTCCAGAGGCTGCTTTCATGTTCAGTTTTTTAATAGAGGATGATGTTTTTTTTTAACTAGGCACTAGGAACGCAAAAACATACAAGTCTTGTATCAAGAGTTGCATGATGATCCCTTGCAAGTTGTGATTGTCAATTCCCCGATCCTTTTGTCGCCTGAGGTGACTGCCCATCCAGAGGATTCCACGGCCTTTCTGCAGCTGGTTGGCGTACATGTACAACTGGGAGAGGCCATTCGGATTTCGAAATGTTATAGTAACATATAGTAACTATTCTGATGATATATGTTTGTAATTATATTTCTACATATTTCTACTGTACTATGTATTTCTACATGTTTCTATACAATTTTCATGTATATTTCTATGATGTCAGAAGACATGCAAACTTCTTCATTTTAGTATTTAACCAGCTAATTGCGGAGTCTTTTCTTCCTCAGCCATACCCATATGCTATTTCCACAAAACTTTATGATGTGACACATCCACACTGCCTGCCATTGTTGTTGGTCATGAGATCGGCGAGCTCCAGACCCACCCCTATGATTTGGTACAATAGTCGATGTTTAATGGTTGTGGCCAACTTAACCAGAAGTGACATCATAATATATATATATATATATTGATCAAGTTTGGGTCAATTATTCATATCAAACAGCCACAACACAACTGGGCTCACCCCCTGCGAGGCCGGCGCGTGCGCGCTCTGGGCTCGGAACTTCGCGGCGAGCCGCGCCGACTTTTCGTGGCGCAGCGCGGCCAAAGCGTTGCATCGAGGGCTTGGACCGAGCTATGCAGAGGATCGAAGTCATCCCCTGAAGTTGTTTTTTTTGATCTATATATATTTAAAGATGCGTTAATAATTAATTATTACACATTGATTCATTTAATTAAGTACAGTAATTAATATATTTAAGTTGTATCACTATAGTAATCATTTACAATTTACACTTGCATGCATTTGCTGCATGTCATATTTGATCCTTTTCTTCGTGGATCGTATTAGATCTGGATAGATATGGATAGATATGGATAGATATAGTATGGTGTTTGCTTACTTGCATTTATTTAGAGGTTTGGGGTACCAGATCAAAAGGGTTTATGCTGTGGGTATATTGCACCCATTCATATATAAAGCAGGTGCGGTTCAGCATGTTTGACCCTCAAAAACAACATAAAACAACAGTCTGCGACAGTTCAACCCTAAGAATTGCATTTTTTCTGGATTCATTGGTGCCAAATTTTGGGGCGATGGCCATATGTGAGTCACAGGATTAATAGTCATGAAGGCTTAGGAGCTACCTCTGAATGGTTGCTTCCCGTTGCATGTCCCCCGTTCACCAAGGGAATAGAATATATACACGAGTGCCGATCCCGATAGGAGCTTTTGATGGATGTGCTGAGCTTTTCATCCACTGATGACGCCACTAGAGCAGAGGTTGTCCAGCTGCGTTTAGGTAAATATATGCATTATATATTCATTATATGCAACTGTGTTGGATGAAGCGGAATGCATCATTTGCATTGGATTGCCGAACATCAGTGTCATACTGGATGGCTTAGTTGTAGCCAGCAACATCCTATGAGTCAGTTTTATATAACAGCTACAAGTAGTCAATCGATCAACAAAAATGATGAGATAGCTGCAATATACCATGCCGCGTGGCCTTATGCTACTTCTACTCTTCAACTTCTGCAGGTTTGCAGCATCTTGGGCCAACTGCGTCCTCATGATGCAATGCAATGGTACCGCAAGGCAAGTGAGGAGCTAGTTTTCCCCATGTTGTCACACCTGTTTCTCGTGCTCATTGCTATTGTTGACAGATAGCAGGTACATAGATGGAATAGCATCCGACCCGGGCATAGAGCTCCATAGAATTCCATAGAAAATCTAGAAATCCAACATGCCAGATCAAAAAAGTGGATCGTTCCTGGTGTATAAATTGGCCCAGGCGTTGAATGTGGATGAAGGATGTGTGCCGGCACTTTTGGGTATGGCACGTCAGCTTCATCATGACAACTACCCAAGAGAAGCAGCAGAATCTCGGCCAAGCTGTGCTGCGCATCCTGGGCGAAAATCACCAGATTACCTCGAGACATTTTTTGGCCATCCTGTACCCTTCAGGTTCAAACAAATATATATATATATATAAGATTATAATAGATTACAATAGATTACAATAGATTACATAAGTGAAAAGCAGATGACAATCATACTGAAAGATATGGACAGAGTCCCACAGTGTGGTTTTGTGTCGTGGATTTTGGTGCCACCTGATGGGAAGAGGAGATGTTCAAAGCAGCAACTCTGAAGAGAACCTTGGACACGCGCGACCTCTTCAGCTACGGCGAGGCTAGGATTTGCATGGTTTAGTATTGGTTTAGTATGGTTTAGTGAAGTTTAGTATGTTTAGTGAGTCAAGGGTGGTGATGATGTCATCTCCGTCATCTAACTGGATCTGACTGGCTGGATATCTGGAGATCAGCACAGATCAGCATCGAATCGAGCTGCGTCAGGCCTTGGTGTTGGCCGGTCGATGTAGGGAGAGTTGCGAAGTGCTGCAAGAAGTCCTGGACAGACCAGACATAGGCGCGTCATGGTGCGTTCTTGGTGTTCGGAATCAAGTGGGATTGGATCGAAGCAACTATGATGCTTTTTGAGTTTGATGATTTCTATCATTGGTTTGCCTTTTTTTGAAATTTCTATTGTAAGTTTGTTTCTCCAGTGTAACCAGACCGTTTCATCAAGCCGGTGACAAGAAGTGCTCGGAAGGGCTGTGCCATGCTGTGGCCACTCACCATCAGATTTCATCAGAATCGACTTGTGAGGCTTTCATGCCATGGCGTGGGCCAGCTCAGTCGGGACCTGAGATGCACAAGTGTCGATGCGTGTTTGGCTCACTTCCAAGGGTGTTGCCTGCTGCTACAAGTGAACTAGATCTTGTTTGTAAATTGTGTGAAGCTGGCCATGCGTCCCATATGCCCGAGCTACTGCGGACCCTTCAGATTCAGAGTGAATTGAACCTGTTCACGTTGCAAAAAGTAGTACAGATCACTACAGGAATTATACTTGATGAGGTCTCTACCTGGTCCTGCTCTACCCGGAGCCAACCAACTTCTATACCCTGTTACTGTTGTGATTGAATCCCTTTTTTTCCGGTTCCATTCCAAATTTTGTAGGTGGCCACTACGTCAATTGAGGCCTTGGCACATGCGCTGGAGCATCAATACACATCAGCATTGGACTGCTGTCGGGAAGTGCCTCGGTCTCCCAGGTGCAAGGAGGCAGGATTTAGCGAGATTTGCCACGCTGTAGCAGGTAGCAGATTCGCATGTCATGCGTTCTGATGGGTTCCGCAAGTTGCACAATTCTGACATATTCCGACCTGTGCCAATGGTGCCTGGTGAATACTCGCGACATTTCGGGAAGGACTTCCGATAAACCAGATAAATAAGCCTATAATTATAAGATCTTGCATCTCAATGAAGATGTCCAGTGAGGTGGTTGTAGAAATATATGAACATATTCCCACACGAAGAGGATTGGGGGCAAGCAGTTTGGCCCCACTATCAATAAGATTTTGCACCAACCTGGTACAGTAGTGGTTGCACAAGCCTCTTCTCGGCAGGCCCTTGATCTTGCTCACTTCCTGGAAGCTCTGTGCCACTACCGTTGCTCCGAGCTGGCAGCGGCACAGGATCTCGTCCCATAGCCTGCACAGAGGTTTCATTGATTGCCATCTAGCCTATCATAGCCTATCTAGCAGCTATAGGAGCAGATATTTTGTAAAAAGTAATGATCAGAATTGAAGTACGTGCAAACATCAGCAGGTGACTTGGGTTTGTACCCTGCGTTACGGCATATGCGTAGCAGTACATACAAAGAGGATGAAGATAGATATATTATGTGGAATAATAGTTGAGCTGAAGTACATGTAAAATAAATTAAAATAAGCTATTTGTGCCCTGTGTCTAAATAATGCACAGGAACATGATCATTCATTCGCATACGTTCTTGTTCTGATTCTGAAGGCTCGGAACTCGTTGGCCCGGGATCCTTGCAAATTGCGAGAGAGACTTTGGGGACTCCTTTGTCGAGTTGAGGCGGGCCTGCACCGACCAAAAAGTAATCGATTGTCGAAAATGATTGCAACAGTTGTTAAGTGTATTAAAATAGGTCCCTCTTAGCTTCATTGCCTTTGATTGCTCTAAGACGATTCACTCTGATCCACTGTTCATGCTATAAAGGTGCTAAATGGCAACCTTATGGCTGCTGAGCATTGCTACCAAGAAGCGCTTCAACTTGGGCAGTGCATCGACACAAAGACTGCTGGAGTCCCTTGGATGGCTTGAGTGCAAATCTCTTCAAACATTGGATGAATTATACATTCTGACACAGACACACACACAGAGATATATACATTTAATAAAATCATAATTATATGTATATTATTATTATATTATATTGTATGGTATTTTATTATATATTACATGTATGTGTGCGTGTGTAAAGATATACGTTTTTATTGGGGGGAGAGAGAGAGCTATTTTTTTTTCCACGGCTCTTTGTGACAATTGTCGCTGCGAGCTGCCTGAATTCAGAGAAGTGGCTCTCTAGCCGCCGAAATCAGGACCGATCTTAGTGCCAAAAGTTCGATGTATCATCGAACAGCACCTGCGAAAAAAGTCCTGGTCAATGGTCTGAGCAGCGTCAACAGGAGCTGCTTGGAACCACTGACAAAAAGAAAATGCTAAAGCCCTGTTCATCGCAGGAGGGTACTCCTTGAGGGGGGATGTCTTCCAGGCTCCATCCACCCCTTTACCGATAGCGCTACGCTTTGGTAGCCCCTTTGTAATATGGTGTTCCCTCAACTGCTTCTTCAGATAGGGCAAATTCAGTGCCAGCAAGCGCGTTGGCTTGGGCGACCGAGCTCCTAGCAGGCCCTGCGCAAGATCAATGGTCTCAATGCCAGGGAAGCGCATCAGAAGTCGGGTCAATGCCAATCGCCAAATGGAAGGCCGCGTTTCATCTTCCGGTTCCTGAAGGTGTTCTAAAACTCCAAAACCTTCCACACACGCCAATGTGAAGAGGAGTTCCAGGGAGAACAGCAGTAGCTCGTTGCCCGTGGCCACCTGGAGGGCTTCCCGAATACTGAGGGAGCTGAAGCCCCACAGTTCCTCAAAGTCCCTCAGCGGGCGAGGGCCCTGCCTGCTCTCTCGTGCTTGATCTTCAGGATGTTGAGCATACCGTGCCTGTGACCATGTCTCACAGGGCGGTCCACAAAGAGCCCCACAAATCCATCCCGATTTCACGCCATGTAGCCAGAAAGCCTGAGTGGCTGGCCTGCGCACATTGCCCCAATCACTGTCGATTATCAAATCGAGGGATACAACACAAAGAGTGGTGCCATCCCTGCAGGTCTGGTCAAAGAGCTTCTCCATAAAGAATTGCAGGTCTCCCTCTCGCCTTCTTCCTGAGAAAACGTGGAGGAAGATGCGCTCTTTTGTGCACGGTCGAGGAATGGCTTGACGGTCAGGAGGAACAATGTCGGCCCGCTCAAACTCCTGCTCAATCTGCTTCAGGGTCAAAGGTCCGCTGTCCTTGGATCTGTGGTGGTGGAGAAAGGGCCAAGCTGTAGGCAGGCAAAGAGATTGCAAGCTCTGTCTCATGCGTGCCATAACTTCATCACTCAGGTCTGTCTCGGCCTCATTCATGAAGGTGATGAGCTGCTCAAGTGTCCGTCGGCACAAAGTCCAAGAAATGACGAACTGCTTAATAGCCCCTCTGACCATGTCCTCAAACTCCGCGACCTTGTCCTCCTTCATCTCCACAATAAGGAGCGCCAGGGTTTCGAAGAGTGGCACATGCTCCACATCAAAATCCCTTGGTGCGACGGGCTCGAGGGTCGGGCCTTCGGCTTGTAAGGTAGGCAGCTTACCATCCCATGTCTCCTGTTGTAGAGCAACCTGTTTCGACCCCAGTCCCGGTAGTGGATGAAGTTGCAGTTTCCGACCCACCAGTTGTTGCCTGCAACGCGTAGAGCGTATAAGGTGCGCCTGCAGCTTCCCGTGGGTGAAGAACTCCTTGAGGCATGTGCCGCATTGTGTACCGTCAATCAGGGTTCTGACTGGGTGGAATTGCCCATGCGCTCTGTTCATATGAGCTCCTTCTCCTGCAAAAGTGCGACAAGCTTGTTCGCAATACATGCATCCAAAGGTCGGAGAAGTACCGGTGGATGAAGACTCATCTGTAGATGTTGGCGAGCACCAGAGGGAATGATGGACAAGAAGTCGCTGAATACGAAGGTGCGCATCAATGCAAACAAATCTGCGTGAAGTCACCAGAATCGAATGCTGCTTGGCCCTTCGCAGAAGTCTGCGCCAGTACCCTCGATGATGTCGAATGACTTCCAGCCATCTGTCCGTATGCTCAAAAGGATTTCCAAGATTGCAGGAGTGACAGAGCTGGTCCCAAACCCATTGCAAATCATCTCGTAGGAGGCTCATCCAGTCAGTGTCCTGGTTGAGGAGTCCCCAATGAGCAGATGATCCAACGGCAATGAGTGAGCTGAGATAACTCAGTCTTTTCAGTCTCAGCAGCGTAGATGGAGCGGGAAGTTCTGTGCGATGTAAAACTTCATCATCAGAGACATGGGAGTCCGAAGGACATCTGAGCAGCCTCTTGTAGAGACGCATAACAGCACTGTGTAAATAATCCTTCGTCTTTTGATCCTGGATGAACCAAGTCTCTGCTCCAAAAAGAAGCCGGCTGAGAATGAGGCTGGTGAAGATCTCGGATCGGCGTGCGGGTGCCAGATCTGTGTTCTGGTAAATCAACTTGCGATGTTTGTTGAAGCTCTGATTGGAGATGGCAATCCTCCTTTTGATTTCCTTGCGCAGGTCTCCAGAGAAATGCGTAGTTCCCCCAAGATGAAGGTACTGCGTCACAATGTTGACCTGATAGGTGCCGTATTCTCCAATCGCATCGAAATGTCCAGACGCATTGGGGCCAAAGAGCCGTTTTTGGCAGGCCTTGGACCCTTTGCCTCTGGGTTTGAAGAGAATTTCTGTTTTGCCCTTGCTCAAGTTCGGAGTCATGGCATGAGAGCGAAATAGATCCAGGATGGTGCTCGTGGCAATCCCCAAATTCACAAGCAAAACATCATTGTCTTCAGCGGTGAGGGGAATAGCGAGATCATCCATCCAGCAAGGGCCAATCATCTGGATCTCCTTGTGGGGGGTCTCAGCGAATCCCTTCTCATGAAAATCAGGCTGAGGATCATCAGGGAAGCTGGACAGGACATTCTTTGCCTCCAGTTTTGCTTCAAAAGACTTCAGCACCCTTGCCATAAGGTACCCAAAGACCACATCAGCGTATGAATCGCCCGGCCTGGAGCCGTGGTTGGTGCGAACATAGTCTTGTTGTCCAGGGAGGGCAAAGTACGTGTCCAAATGAAGAGCTCGAATCGCTCTCTTCGCTGCTCCTTGCATACCTGCCATCTCGATAGCACTGGCTTCATTGAGGTGTTGATATAGGTCATGCACCACATTGTGGTCCAAATGCAGGCGGGCAGCCATGGCCGCTATGTGAGCATCATCCCAATGACCTGAAATTGCAAGGGGTCGAATGACCCGATAGAATGCTTCTTGCAAATCTATGAGCAGGACCGCTGTCGGCTGGTTCCGCTTGCTGAAAATTCGAAGGAAGGCCCTGATGATGTGCCCCCCCAAGGAGACAGATACTCCTTTTCGTCCTCCAAGCTGCTGAGAATGTAGAAAGCTGTGATAGAGATCTGACTGTTTGGTGCGCATGGCCTTATGGAGCGTCTTACCAACCATCGAGGAGATGAGAATCGATCTGAAGGCACCGCATACGTCTTTGCTGAGCTTTCCCTTCCAGATTGGCACCAGGAAGCCACCCTTGTGTTCAAGAGGCTCTTGGCCTTGAAGGTAGATCTTCAACATCAAGGTGTAGAGTGTTCTTGCCATAGAGCTTGGACAGTAACGCAGGAGTTCTGATGGAATTCTGTCCATCCCCGATGCCTTGCCCGCAGCAACTTGCCTACAAACTTGTTCCAGGTCCGCCAAAGAGGGCATTTCACTGATCTCAACTTCAAAGTTGTGGCAGCGAAGGTCCTCTAGGTTGGAGCGCCATTTGTGGCGTTGCTGCGGCCCATCAACTCTTTCACCTCCTTCCATGTCGCTGAAAAAGGTAATCCAACGTTCTAAAGCTGCATGTTGAGATGTGCAGGGGTTGCCCTCCTCATCTTTGATCAAGGGTAACGGTGACATACCCTGCCTCAGTTTGTTGGTGGGACCCATAAATGGTTTCAGCCCCTGTTGGATCTCCGACGCTGTCGTGTTGTGAGTGAAATCCTGCACAAGGTTGCGTAGTGCCGTCTTCTTGTTGGAGATGATGGCCTTGCGCAGCGCCTGTGCTTGGACACGAAAGCCCAATCCATGCTTGATGACACCGGAAAGCAAAGTGCAGCCGTAATCAAAGGATGCACTTCCATCCCATGAGGAAGGATGTTTCCATGCCGCAAAGATGCGGGCCAAAGCTTCTCTGCGGAGAAGTTTTCGGATGTGCTTGAGGGCGTCTCTGTGTTGGAGTTTGGCTTTCCTCAGTTTCCAAACGTGTGCGTCGACATATGGTCGCTCTGGTCCTCGTTTGGGGCGAGGACAGTGTCTTTGAAGCATGGAGTGCAGCTGGCGGTTGATGTGCTGGAGGTGCTTTTCAACGTTGGTATCCCAAGGGTGAATGGCAAAAGGCTCCAATTTCAGAGGCATTTGGTGTCTAATCATGGATCGCTCAAAATTGTCGCTTCTTCCTGCCCCTGATTGAGGAAGGGCAACCAGGCTTTGCCAGGTCAACTCGACAGCATGAACTGCATGATCTTGTTGTTGATTGCCCAAGTCAAAGTCCGCAATGATTTGAGATAGGTGGCAGTTGGAGATCCATGTTTGAGGAATCAACACATAGTCGATGGTGTATTCCTCCTGCAAGGGTGATGTCCAGGTGCACGTAGGGCCCACATGAACAGGACTAGTAATGGGTGCGCATAGGTGAAAGTCCTCCAGGAAGGTCCGCAGGAGCTTTGTGCTTGGTGAAGTACGAAAGCCCGTGGTGAAGATGTGGTCCCCATCGGGTTCTCCAGGCCCTGCGTTGGCATCAATGCAAACAAAGAGCGGGGAATTCTCGATGTGGTGCTCCTGGACAATGTTATGTGTGTCGCTCCACCAATGGGTCCTGTCGATGTCCCTGTAGCCACTATGTGGTGCATAGGCAACCAGAAACCAGGCTTCCCAAAGCGGGTGCTGGATCCTCACCAAAA